GTCAAATGTATATTAAAGAAAACATAGACAAATCTTCATTTACCTCACTAGGGAAATTCTGTTCAATAACTCCCCGCAGTTTCACTTCAATTGCAAATTACTTGTGTACCCGATATACTATATCACAGCCAGGGGTATTGGTGTCTTTAAAATATTTTGCTAATTAAAATCCTGTGTATAGATCTCACTAATGGGTTATTGCCAATTCAAGTTCACCACAATAGGTAGTAATATTGTCATCAGAAAGTTGTGTAGAGACTTCCTTTTCCTATAAAAATTAACATGATCTGTGAGAAACCTTGGCGATACTGAATAACTTTTGGGTGCTTTCTCTCTGGTACAGTGTTTTTGTTTCATGTTTACTGGAATAAAAGGCACAAGCTAATAATTTTAATACTCAAATGTAAATATTCAGCTCCTGGTTTTTGTCACTAAATACCTCAGTTGAAGGTGACATTTAATGGCCAGGGCATATAAAATAAGTTTCCATATTCCTTAGAAACACTGTTTTTGATTCTGCTCAAACCATACTGACAATGATAACAGAACAAAAGAAATCAAATAGTCAAATGTGAGAGGAAATTGTTTAGCTTCAGAATCCATCTACTTTGCATTTCCTGAATTATATCTGTCAGACTAGGCCTTATTCTCTCTTCAATTAAGATGATTTAAGTTGCTTTCAAACACTATGAAATGCCAGCAGTATTTACATTTTTTCAACTATTTTTTAAATCTTATAATTTTATACCACATTGTTTATTGCGTGTATGTGTGGGGGGCTAAATTTAATGTCTAAATGAAAGCTTTCAAAACAAAGTCTTTTTTTTAGACATTTAGCTAGAGATATTTTTAGAACTTAATTTGTAAATGAGGGAAATACGATTAGGAAGAAAATAATCAAATTTCTTTTGATGTAAGAATGGGAATGAATACATTGAGTTGCATGCCAAGAGGGTTTCAACCATGGCCTTACATTACTTTACTTGAGCAGACAAGTGTATGCATCATGGAGAAATCAAAGGACACATGATCTGACATTCACAAGATTCAGAACGTATTTGCTTAATGACTATATGTTAGTAGTTTTAAGTTACTAACAATTTAATCACGTTTTATCAATGTTTTTTTAGTAATTTAAACCTTTTTAAATGTTGAGACATACGTGTACCTTTGTACTGTAAGCTATTTAGTTGTCACGGATGTCGGAATGGATGAACCGTGGAATGGCAGGAGAGCGTAAAAGACCCTATGCGTAGTGGCAAGACGGGGGTTTGCCCGGGCTCAGCTGTTCAGGGAATGCCGCATAGAAAACAATTCCCTCAGGTAGCGGACGTGGGGGCGACCTGGTGCTAGGCGGGTTTCAGGACATCCGAACGTCAATGCTGAGCACTGGCAGAATGAAAGACCCGGAAATATATAGTCCCAGAGAGAGAGAAACACCGGAAGGACAGCAAAGAACCGGAAATGAGAGACAGGACAGAGAAGGAGCGCCCTCTGGCTGCAGAGGGCGTGACAATAGTTGTCACGAAAGCGGCTTTTGACTCCCATGGAGTGCGTTATTAAAGACCCTCTGCGGATGGTATAATGAGGTAGCAACCAAGTCCAAGGAAATCTAAAAGGGAAGTTGAGGCACAGTCCATAATTCAAGAGCCGGGAGATCCATCCAAGACAAACTGTTAAAAGGGGGAACCGGGTCGGAACCAGATACTCTGCATCCTGGACCCAGGCGGTCAGGACGTCGGGGAAAAGGCACACCTTCGGAGAACCCGGAAAAAAGGCAAGCCTTGTGGCGTCCATCTTCCAATACTGAACCCAGAACTGCAGAGACGCTAGGCTTTTAACCAAAAAGCAAACGAGACTCACCAGGAAATAATAAAAAAATTTAATAACCAAAAGGGGTAGGAGCGCCCTCTAGAGGAGGGATGTGGAACGTAACAATAGTAGACTGCATTTCTAAATATTCTATTACAAACTGTACCAGTACAGGTGTGGTAAGCAATGTGCTTTTGCAAGTTTCCAAGATGCAAAAGCAATAATGGAGGCGGTGCGGTGGCTCTATGGCTAAGGATCTGCACCCGCGGCTGGAATGTTGCTGGTTTGAACCCTATGGCTGGCAGAGGAATCCTACTTCCCTGAGGAAGGACCTTAACCCCAACTGCTGCAGGGGTGCCGTATAAAGGGCTGGCCCTACGCTCTGACCACAGGCTTGTCTGTGTGTCTCATGTTGAGCAAGCTGGGGTATGCAAAAAGACAAATTCCTAATACAAGAAATTGTATATGGCCAATAAAGTGATCTTATCTTATTAAGTGCATACTTAAAAACACAGAAAGAGTGAGGGAAGTTGTACTAGAAATTATACTGCTAGGAATATTAGAATATGAATCAATTTGGGCATGTAAAATCCGTTAATTTAGTACCATGCCTGATCAGCCATATATAATAACCTAATGAGTAGCTTTATGATGTCCAGACATTTGGACATCATACAAGTTGGTATGCTAATATTATGATCAAAGATCAATAGTCTGCCTGTCTAGCAACATGGATGACAGCCCCCTAGATACTGGCACATGGTAATAGTTTTCAGACAAATCCCAATTCTGGAACACATTTGGCAATGGCAGTATAATTGTAATGCTGATAGTTAGTTTGTTGGCTGTTTTTGGTGGCAATACAAAAATCATTTAAAAATCTAGTATAGAAGAAATAAATTCTCATAAAGAGGTTAAATGGAATTAGGGTATCAAAGTCTGTTTAGGATAAATATAAAACTGAGACTACATAATAGTTATGATCCTGGCTTAGGATTCAAAGGGAACTGTGTACCATCTCTGGCTAATTTCTCTTACACACTTGTCATGCTGATTAATTCACTGTGTGATAGTGGATCTGATAACAGAATGACAAAATGTATTTCCATATATCGTTCAACTTTGCAAGTGCCAAAAAGAAGAAAGGCTTGATAGGGAAATCATTTGTTGGTAATTATTGATGACAATTACCTACAGTACTTAACTAAAATTTAAATTGCTACCTCTTATGTCAAGACCAGGTTAGCTCATGGCATTTTTTCACATCACAGACAGGACTGGTTGGCTCTTTAAAGGATTTTGTAATTGAGTCTGTTACATAATCAGTGTAGGACAATGCCCCAGATGTCCGATAATGTACACTGATTTCCACATGTTGTAAATGATTGTTTGATCATATCAATATGAAATGTCTTAAGCTCACTGACAGTTCTTTAGCTCGAAAACCAGCTGAAATATATCACAAGTTTTTTCTCCTTTAGATGTCACGGAGTCACAGAGAACAATAGCAGCAACACTCAGGATGTGCTGCATTGTGTTTTTGCCAGTGGGAGATAAACAGCTACTGTACTGTATGTGACTTTACACCAATTGCATGAACATTTGTAAAGACAAGATAAGAGCTTTTCACACACCAGATGTTTGTTTAAATGGCTCTGGGGGCATTGGTTTGCTCCGTGTCACATTAAATTGGCTGGGAAAACTACTGATGTTTAATGTGGGAATGCGTTTGATAACATGGTAACATCACCAGCGTCTTAACCACAATTATTGCAGTCCTGCAGGTTTAAATTTTTGTTGCCTTAAGCAGGACCAAGCAGGACTCGTGTTGACCTTCATTACGATAAGATATAACTTTATTAGCCTTACACAATTTCTTGCAATAGGAAATAATATTTTCACATACTCCAGCTAGCTCTCCATGAGACACACAGACAGGGAGAGAAGCTTGGGGTCAGAGTATAGGGTCAGCACCCCTGGAACAGCTGGGGTTAAAGGCCTTGCTTAGGGGCCCAACAGAGTAGGATTCCTCTGCTGGCCATGGGATTTGAACCGGCAATCTCCCAGTCACAGGCACAGATCCTTATTCAGAGAGTCACCACTCAACCATTACAGTCTAAACTTTATTTTCTACAAGCTTCTTTTGCACACCCAGCCACATAGGCCTACTGTTTAAACTTTGTCTATTTCCTACACCCAGCCACATAAGCCTACTGTATAAACTTTGTCTATTTCCTCTGGAGCCCTCCTTACCATTACTCTTATGCTAGAATCTAGACATAGATTAATACCACTTTCCTCCTGGCTGTTTTTATACACCATCCAACTAATCTGTGGGATTGTCTGATTCCACTCAGATGATTTTTATGTTGCTAGTCTTTCCCTCATGTGGAATCTCATTCCTCTTAGTGCCAATTATAAACCAGGTGTGTCTCTTTTTAACCTTTTTGTCTTTAATTAATACGCTAGGTGGCTTTCTTCTGAAGCCACCTCTCTCTAACTCACGAGCATGTTTAACAGAATTTTGACAAGATTTTCTTTATCTGTTTTTTCCTACTGTATGCAGAGCAGGATTATGTACTGTATTTGTATTGTATTCGATTTGTATTACTGTTTGTAGCAGTAGTCAGCCCTTGAGATATACTGTTTATTTGTTTCCAGCCTTACAGACATTTTTCAGAATGAACTGTGGTATTACACTAAGTTACTTTTTTAGCAAATACTATATATTGGAAAAGATCAAATTAATTTAAAGTATTTAATTGTATTCCATTACCACATCTTGTTGTTAATCTTTTAATTAAATTGAACATTTTACATTGCATTCACAGCAGGAAAACAAATGTCTGTATTATATACTGTATATGGTATTCTCACATAGACCAGATAAGATAAAAAAAGATTTGTACACATATAATTAATGAGCCATTGTATTATTTATCTATCAATATGTCCTTTGCCAATTTCATTTATTCGAGAATTGTAACCGCTGTCATTTAAGATGATTATCATTCAAATATATTTTGTTAGTAACCACCATTTTTAAGGGCTTTTCTGGGACTGCTTTAGTTAAATGTTACATAATGGCTGATACATCAAAACAGTGTGTTTACTTAATGTCATGATGAAACCGAGGGGACAGACCTCTTTGTTCTAGAATAAGAAATGTTTTAGTATTTTTTTTATAGAATCTACAGTTACTCAGGCCTATCCTGGCACTGAAGCTTGCCCTCTGGGTCATTTTCCCTGTGGAAACCTCTCAGTGTGCCTGCCTCAGCTGAGACAATGCAATGGAGTACAGGACTGTGCTAATGGAGCCGATGAGGACAACTGTGGTGAGTCATCTTTGTTGCTTTGGATAAAGGAGAAGCTTTTGTTGATTTCAGCTGTCTAGGGTCTGAAATGTCAACTGTTGCACATTTCAGGAAGCCAGAGAATTCCAACATGGATATCTGACACAAGATATCTGATAGAAAGATATTTCCCTTCAGCGCTGACTTGTCACCTAAGTAAAATTTATTAAAATAAATAATTGTGTTGTTAGCTGGAGATGAATGGGGCAACGCAGGGTAGGAGATTGATGTCTTTCCTGTGCTAACATAGGTGGAAAATTGTCTACCTTATACGGTGTGGAAGAAACAGCTGCTAGTGGAAAAGATTTTTGAGACAAAGCAGACAGCTCATACCTTAGCAACATTTTCAAGCAATTCAAGACACCTGCAGTATAAATTTCAGAGCACATACAGAAATCATAATTATGTGCAACAGACCGTACTATGTTAGTTAATGCTGGTATGAAAGCCAGCTTGGCTATAATTCTAATTCTTAGTGACTCACATGTGCTACTAATGACTGTTGACTATTTTGTTTTTGTTCAAAAGTATTGAATTGCTACCATACTGTGTGCTTAAAACTTAAAACTGAGTTTAAAACTCTCTATGAAGCACAGCACCGGGTCAGTGGGTGAAGTTTACTACTTCATTTTCTGTTGTTTTTTAATGCTTTCAAGTACGCACATAAGGCAATGTAGTCAACGTGACTCTCACATGATGTAAAAAGAAAGGCATAAGGAAGGAATTCAAAAAGTAGGATTAAAAGGACAGGCTGTTATTGCCAAAATAAATGGTGTCAGACACTGGAGTTCAAAGAACTGTCCTTTGCCATTTCTCGGAGTCCCTCTGTAGGAAACCTGTAAGAACCATCATCCAACTTTAATGAACCTAGAATTTGGGATTTACAAAAGCATTAGCGGAGGACTGCAGTGCAAAGAAATTGATACTTTGCCCAAAGATTATTGCAAAAGGAGGAAAAAGAGAGGATGAGGTGAAAGGGGAAAGTAAAATAGAAGAACTGACAAATTTAGGGCCAAATGAAAAGTCAGAAATTGGTAAAAAGGAATTAAACTAAAGCAGATGAAACACACAGAAATAAGGTAATTCAAAATATTCTTTAAATACAAAGTCATTTTTGTTCTTTAAGTATTTTTTCAGAACAAAATTTTACTTCGGGCAGCACAGTGGTATACGTGTTAGTATTACTGCGTCGCAGCACTTGGGCCCTGGGTTTAATTCCAGACCTGGGGTGCTATCTGCAGGGAGTTTGTACGTTCTCCTCATGTTTGCGTGGGTTAATCTGTGTGCTCCAGTTTCCTCTCACAGTTCAAAAACAGGTAGGTTAATTGGCTTCTGGGAAAATCAGACCTGCTGTCAATGTGTACATGTTTGTGTCTGTGTGTGCCCTGTGATAGACTGGTAGCCCATCCAGGGTGTATCGTACCTTACACATTTTGCTTGCTGGGGAAGGTACCAGTATCCCCAAGACATCGTATTGGATAAAGTGCCTAGAAAATGGACAGACGGATAGAAATAAGTACTTATAATGAGAACAAGGAAAGAGACTTTTTCCATAACCGGGAGTTTTTTTGAATTTTTTGCATTTTGTTTTCTTTATAGTTGATAACAGCGGATGGCCTCATCTTTTTGATGCTCTTTCAAAGAACAAATTTGAGGAAGCAAAAGAGTGCTGTAAGTAAAAGAATCCCTTTGGTGTATTGCTCAAATTCATCTTTTTCTCTAAACTAAAGCAATTTGTTCTTCTATGTGGTGGGGGAGGGGGCATAGCCAGGAGAGAAAAATAAAATTCTGTGTGGTGCGATTGTTTGCTGTGGTTTAACAGTAGGTTTTGTGCTGTCAAGGCTAAAACCTGTGGCAAATAGTAAAATTCAGATCACAAACAATGTGCTGGATGATCTCAGTTTCGCCCCTCCCCCAATCCTACTTTACTCAGATGAGGATTTGTATAAAAAAATTGCTCTTAAAGATTAAAGCACTTTCACAAAGATTAAAGTACTTTACGTTCAGAGAGCATTTGCCCACGTTTTAATATTGATGTGTGGACCTGTCTGTCAATACTTTTATCTATTCTGTTTTGAATTCTGAGCATGCTGTATTCCACGGTGCTGAGCATCAATTTAATTTGGATGGAAGAAAATGATTTTGTGCCTCACTTTTTCTATCAGGAAGAACTTAGTAAGTAGGAAGAGGAAATTAACTAGCAGTTTCAATGTCACATACTGTACAATTAGTAATCTTTGACATAACAGATAACATACAAGTAATAATTACATTCAGAAGACTTAGGCATTAGATGTATTAAAGTACTAATAGGATTATACCTGAGCAAGGGTCTTGTAAAAATACCTACTATTATTGTGTTCATGGAAGATAAATCGAAAACGCATGTAGTTGCCTTTTGACTTAAAATTGCAACAGACTGTTAAGAGAGAAAAAAATGGAAAAATCAAAATGAACACAAAACATTTGATTTATTTCACATTATTTGATTTTTTTCACACACATTGTTACATTTTTTTAATACTGTACATCAAGTGAGGTGATGAATTCTGGAGACTGATGTGACTAAGTGTTTTTTTTTCACCCATCTTAACTGATTTTCCATTATTAATAATCCATATAATAATGGTAAGGATTTTCTATGTGCGGTGGCAACTGAATAATTTGTTTTTCACACAAACGTTTCAAAAACAATATCTTAATTCCGATTAGTTTATTTAAAAAGTGTATTAATCTAATAGATGGGTAAACTAAATCCTGAGAACAAGTATACTCTTATATACTTTAGTACTGTATACAGTATACAGTACCATGCCTTGCAAAAATACTACCATTTCCTAATTTTGTCTCATTTTGCTCAATTATAAATGAAGTATACAATTTTACATGAATATTTTTAATCAAATCATGAATGCCCAGACTGAGTACCATACAGTAAGTTACATGTCAGCACAAATACAAAGAAAATGATAAACTATGTTGATTGCATAAGCACTAACCTTATGTGGTTACTGTTTTGCAGTAATTATAGTCGTGAGTCTTTTTGAATAAGTTTAGCAACTTGGTACACTGCAATTTTCATCCATGCTTTTTCGCAGGCTTGCGCAAGCTCTGCCAAGTTCACTATGGATTGTTGATGGACATTCTTCAAGTCTTTTCACAGATTTTGTCAAGTAAAGACTTTGTCTAACTCACCTACAGTACATCCTTTTAATTTATCCTTGTTAAAACAGTATAGTTTTATCACGTGTCTTGGGTTATTTTCCTGCTGAAGAGATAATTTACATACGGAAATAAAATGAGAAGCAAACTCATAACTTGTTAGCAATTCTGAATGCTGAAAATAAGGACCCAGTGCAGGGCTGAAGTAGGCTTATTCCCTGAGCAGTAATAGGAAATCCTAATAGAAAAGGCTACCAAAAAAAGTCCTAATATCCGAAATCCAAAGGGCAGGCGATAGTCAAGACCGGGTAGACGGTAGAGACAATACAGCGAGGCAACCAACTCAGAAACTAGCGGGCAAAGGAAGGAATAGAACAAGCTTTGGAAGGTGGGTACACGTACTAAGGCGCTCCAGGGAGAATCCGAAATAGTGAGTGATGGGAAGGGAAAAGAGCAGGGTTAAAGTATTGATGGGAGTGATAGGCGATAGGAAGATTAGTTGCGGCGTGAGCGTCTGTTTAAGTGGGTCCGCGGGGGAATGTGACGCCGTTTTTGAGAGCGTGTGCAATGCCTGACAGTGTGAGTGCATGTGGAATGCGTGACATAACTTAGTGCTGCCACCACCATGCTTGAGGGTAGGGGTAGAGTTGACCAGGTAATACTGTATGTTGTGTTGGGATTATACCAGTCAACTTGCATAAAATACGAGAGGTTTAAATTATTTTCCGTCAGAACAGAAATCCGTTGGCATATGTTTACAGTATCACTTAAATGCAATGTTGCAAACTCCATGCAGTCTTGAATGTGGTTTATTTTTAGTAATGAATTAATTCTTGACACCTTGCCACATAAGCTAGTTTTGTGAAGTGTTAGGGATAGGGATATTGTAACGCTTACGGCCGACAGGCACTGTGTAAGAGTCGGCATACCAGAGCAGGTGATGTCACCGCCCTTCCCTGTGATAGCAGGACTACAGCTACTGGGCTGTAGAAAGATCTCTTTTTAGCTCACGGGGCTGGGTCGCGGTAGAGAGACGCGGGAGTCCCGTGTTCGAGCCCCGGACGGTGCGGGGCCAACCTAATGCGGCAAGGGCGCCCGCCAGAGCTCCCGTTGCGTTACAATATTGTTGCCTGATGCATTTTTTCCCTATGTGTGTGTTTCAACTCTGTAGCACTCTCAAAGTTGCAATTAGCCCCACAGTGCCTTCCATTACCTTGTATTGTTTGAGTGGTATGATTTACCTTCCATTTCTTGATTACTTGGAAGAATGTGCTCACAGGGATATTCAGAGACTTTAATATTTATTTCTAACATTTTGCTTTGCCTTTACATTTGTTACGGTAGGTGACCCCTCAAGCATGAATTACTCATGCTCTGTACATTACTTTGCCATCTTGCAATTAAAAAAAGGTCCAAGGCCCCTTACTTCCTAGCCACAGGTTCTGTTTATTTCCCAGAATTACCATTGCATCCACAAACCAGACAAGACAGTTACCGTATCATATTGTAATGCTTACGGCCGACAAGCAGTGTGTGTAAGAGCCGGCGTACCAGAGCGGGTGACGTCACCGCCCTTCCCTGTGATAGCAGGACCACAGCTACTGGGCTGTGGAGAGATCTCTCTTTGGCTCACGGGGCTAGGTCGCTGCAGAGAGACGCGGAAGTCCCGGGTTCGTGCCACCTATACTTTGGGCCGACCAAATGCTGCAAGGGCGCCCGCCTGAGCCCCCGTTGCGTTACAATATGCTGTCTATCATAATACCCATCACACAAAAAAATTATCCTCGTAACACAATAATTTCTATAACTGCCTGCGCAACACACAGAACACATAATACAACTTATCCACAATAGGCACTTACTGGCAGAACAGTATAAAGAAACGCCATTAACCCCAATTACCAAAACCAATGTCCCAAAGGAGAAGTTAAGAAGCAATTTGCACCAGAACCAGCTCCAGTCAGTGACCTGGTGTACCTCCTTCCATCATATTGGAAGAAAGGGAAGAAACTCAGTATAGTCCTTTGGTGGTTCTCAGGCATCTTCTCCAGTTCTGGCCATCCTAAAGAATGCGGTTCTCTCATGCTCCCCTTAATTTATCTGAGCTCAATATCAGGCAGGGGGGAGGAAGATGATGCCTTCCTCAGCTGCTCCCCGTAAAGTCCCTGGTGTCTTTGTCCTCTTCAATTCCTTCTTCCAAAGTGGCCCTTGTTACATTTTGACTGAGGCTTTTTAAGCCTTCTTAATAAGAGCACTTGATGCCCTCGGGGACTGAAAGTGTCCCTGTGATGTTTCAGGGTTTAAGAATGGCTAACTGCCTAGGGTTTGATAAGGAAATGTAAATTATGTCAAGTGTAACCATGCATGGTTTAATTGCACCCTGTTCTTTCTTAGAGCCCCACTCTTGATCACTCTTGATCACAGGTCCAGCCAAAACTGTTTGCAACCCCACACATTGTCCGTGAATGGTGTGGTAATTGTCTCCTGTGTTAAGAGGGAAACATGGAGGATATGAATTGAAACCGCATCAAAATTATGGTGAGACTGGCCCATTAATGCAATCAACATCCATAAAGACCCTGACACATGGTGCCTTCCACACCCATTATTTATTCCAACCTTTTGGTGTAATTGTATAGCATTACCAGCAGAGTACAGTATATCACCCAGTCCACACCATCCCTGTAACAGATCGTGGTGGTCTGGGAAGCTTGTTGGGATTGAAGAAAAATTACACAAAGCAAAGTACTGTACAGGCAAATGCTAGAAAATAAAAACTGTTTCAGTCTACTAAAGAGTTAAAAGTGGTGTCCTTGAGTGCCCCAGTCAAAGTGCTGACTTGAGTCCTATTGAGAATCTGTGAACAAACTTCAAAAATGCTGTCCATAAGCAATCCCCAAGCAACTTAAGAGAGCTTGAGCAAATCTGCCAAATTAGAACTGGAAAAGTATTGTCTCAAGCCGATGTGCAAAGTTATTAGAGTCTTAATCAAAATGACTGACTTGCTGCCAAAGGTGCTTCCATCAAATATGGAGTACGTGGGTCTGAATACTTATGCATTCAGGATATTTCATTTTTTCAATTTTGTTTTTGCTGATTTTCTATAACTAATCTTACCATTAGATGCCTTTAGTCTGACCTTCACCTCTTCAGTTTTTGAAAAAAAATATTATGTTTAAAAAAATGCAAATTCAGGATTTAGGATAAAAGTATATTCGCCATATACTGCAGTAACAAATTGAATGCCATACAAATATAACTTATGGTTTCTCTAAATGTATTTTCAAATAAAAAATATTTTTTTTTTATCATGCATCTAAAAGGTATGTTTTCTTAAAATTCACCAAGTCATTTATATCTATGGTTTATGAAAGTGAAGAGGGAGGAATACAAATAATAGTTGACAGGGTAAAAGCAATTAGATTCAATTAGAGTCACTGGGATTCAAACAGAAGTAACAATGGTTTTAACCTTCTTTAGAAGTACATATATATTTTTTGTTCATTGTTGCCTATGGTACAGAGAGAAATGCATACTCAATTACAGCTGAAAAATTGAACTTTTGTATAACCTGACCCTACAGTGTTGGATGTATATCCTGAAGAATGCCAGTGTGAGGGCAGAAAAGTGGATTGCAACAACAGAGACCTTAACAGCGTGCCTGCAGTCTCTTCTAATATTACTGCACTGTGAGTACAATCTTAGAAATCCCACTTGGAACTTTTGAACAATATATTTCACACACTGATTAACAGTCGTAGTTAATGACATCAGTGGATTGCTGCACTAAATAAAATATATTTATAATCTAGTATAATCTAATACAGTATGTAGTATTATTATGTACTATAATAACAGTAAATGATAAATAATAAAAGTAAATACTACTACTTATTTACTACTACTACTACTACTAATAATAATAATAATAATAATATGTTTATCACAGTGAAAGTAATGTCTTTATTAGTTACTGTCTAGTAAGGCGGTACTGTAGCCCTTATACTATATCTCACTCACTCCTGACTCTGGTAAAGAACTAATAAGTAATAGTTTATAAGTAATAAGATCTTTGTGGCTCCTAAAATGGAGTTTAATAGGGATGCTCTAGACATCCCTGTAGGCACTCTAAACTCAAAACTCATTAGATAATCATTATAGGAAGTGAGATGAATTTTGCACTTAGAAACTCAATTTGACTTAAATGATGCAAATCAATAACTTTCTGCAAAAATAAGATAGAGCAAGAGTATAAAGATGATAAAAACGGGCATATGAAATATATGATAAACCATTTCATTAAATAGAGGTTGGAAGGCTATGCCAATTCTACATGCTGTCTGAGTGAAATGGGAGTCAGTTAATTGACAGTAATGGTCTGTTGATTCTCTGCTCTACTCTGTGTGAGAGGTTTTTATGTCTGTGGCAAGTATTTGCAGCAAAACTTGATTAGCCACTCACCTGTCTTTCTCCACCATCCAGCAAGAGAGTTGTGAAACTTTTGGCAAGCTGTATCTCCCTATGGCTGCCAGCAGGCCATCATCAAAACACATAAAAAAGCTGGCCACTTTTTGTATCCAATTCATTAGGCTTCACTGACCTTTGAAACTTGACGTCTCAAACTCCATAGTCCCATTAAATGTCTCACCTTGGGCCAAGTGCTTCCTGCAGACATGACACTGGTGCTAGAGACAGGAGTCATCCTGAATTCTGGCAGCCATTTTCCAGGGCAATACGTTTTGGCTCCTAAAAGTTGTGGTTCACCGGTAATACAGTACGGAAACAGGTATTTGACCATATGAGCTCAAGGTGATGCTTGGATCTAGAGGAAGGGACAGGGTTGTAAGATGGACTACCTTCTTGTTCCTCATCCCTCTGGCAATGCAGCAACAGAAAGCAGATGGAAACAGTCAGGTGTCTTCTCTGGTGTAAAGGCATGACAGTGTGAGGCTCTCCATTCAGAGCTGTCTTCTGGAGTTAGGATGTGAGGTTTCTGGATGCACCATCCTTTGCTTCATTCATTGCATCCAGTTTTGCAGTCAGGGGCAGAGTGTAAAGACTACCACCACTAAGAGGTATTGTCCATTCCTTGATTATAACATCATCAAGGCAGATAGACCGCAGGTCCTTGCTGGCAGCAAGGTCTGTTATCAGCTAGTATCTTTTGCTCTTTCAGAAGTGACTCCCCAGTAAGGTACAATTTTTTCTACAGTAACCCGCTCATTCTTAACTTGAGTGTTGGGAACTAGTGCTTTGTGTTTCTTAGGATTAAATAAAGAGTCTGGGTATAAAGAGGGCTAGCAACTACTCTCATGCACTCAGTGAGATTACAAATGTGGGAATTGGGGGCAAAAAATTAACAAATCAGGAAGCACAAGCACTAAATTCAGTAGAATGATAGTCATATCACTTGCATTTCAAGCAGTACTTGGGCCACCCACAGACATTTAGTTTGTTGTATTTTTGGGCCAGGGAAAGGCCTTGCTGGTCCCTCTGTTTTGTTTGAGCCTAAAGCCTTGATAGTAGATAGGGTTTTCTTTTATTTGGGTGATAAGACAAATAGAAGACAGACATTGTCACACATAGTGAAATTGAAATTCAAAAAACAATATTACTGAGTGTTGAGCTGTTTTAATATAATAAAAAATATATTTTATTCTCTGCTTGAACTTCACTTACCCCAGCTGTGTCAAAATATGCACCATACAGAATGTGAGCATAAATTTGCCTTAAACTGAAGTGTTAACCAAATGTGAGCCTGGTTTCTCACAAATTAACTGTGCTCTGCCTCTTTCTAGACCAGTTATACAGTAAATGAAATGTATTTAACTTTGAAAAGAATGAAACCCCTACAAATGACACTGGAAATATGCACATCAGAAATGAAGCTGAGACGAAAGAAAGAAAACTGCAAACTCCTCTTAATCCACTATTTCTAACAAGCTTGGATATTTCAGACCCCTAAGGCAAAGCACCATACGTACATGCTTATGTATTCTCTATTCACTGACAATAAAAGTATCTTGAGGCCATACATTCAATGTACTTTTAGTTACAATAGAAATATTTCCCATGGTGCTTATTGTACACTTAATTAAGTGTTTTCATAACAAAATTAAAACAGTCGGCTGAGATTAAATAAATTCAGTTGCTGGAATAACATTATTAAATACTTGGGATAATGAAAGAAATACTGTTGTTTGTCGACTGACACGTTTCTGCAATATTAATTTTAACCACTCCAAGATGAGAAGAACTGAGATGTGCTTAATTCTTTCCGGTAGTACTGTACATACCTCTCAAAAGCAGAGCAGTTGGTAAAAACTGAAAGCTTCCAGTCTAAGCACTTTGCAAACATTTTACTTAACTAATATGGCAACTCAAAATGAATACTATATTACAGTACACTGACATTGAAATTTAAAGTAGTGTAATATATACTGTATGCTGCGCTAGAATTATCATATTCCATAATATTGAGTGGGGCATGATCAGAAATACTATCATGCTGTGCATGTCCTGCTTAACTATGTCTTCTTGAAAATGATCACACTCCCCATGAAACACTAATGAGCCTTACTGGGTACTGTGCTATTTTAAGACATTTCTGGAGGATTAAGCCAAGAATTATAAAACAGAATGTCATGGAAAAAAGTTTTTAACAAAATCAAGCAAGCAATTCTATTTGTACACTTTTTCCCCATGTCTGTATAATTTATGCAGAGTTTCTTAAATTTAATTTAAGAAATGACATGATTTATCACAAAAGTGGATAATTTTTAAGCGCAATAAAAATGTAAATGGATGGAAACAAACCAGAAAACGGGAGCAATTGGAAAAAAACCTGAGAACTTTGGGATGATATGCAAACTGCTTTGAAAGCTTCCCCATATGATCATCTGCGAGGCAGGCACACTGACCACTGTCCCACCTTCAGTATTAATCAACCCATTACACCAAATTGGCCACCTTCTTACAGTAGCTACACAAAATAAATATATTGTTTTACTGCTGCAAATTCTTTGTATAATCCCAGTTTATTTATTATAATAGTTCAGCGTAACAGTGGCCTGCTGGCTCAGGAACTGTTATCTATAACAGGGGCCAGTTGGCATGGGGTTCTGTGCCAGATTGTCACAGTTGAAAACAGACAGTGTTTGCTAGGAGATGTAATTAAAATGAACCCCTTCAGCATGAATATTCCACTTTTCCATGACTAGATGTGAGCGTTCAGCTGTTTTGTTGTTAGTTGTGCAATTATTTTGAACAGTTTTCAAGTTGCTTCACATATGTTAAAGTATTTTGGGATCTGACCTCTAGAACCCAATACTGAACAACACTTTTTGTTAATAGTTTTAATCAAATTATTATATGGGACTTTTCATATCTGTCTTTTGCATTGAATTTCAAGTTTTTCTTGAAATCTCTATGACTTGAACTATACACAGTTGCACAAGGAACTGCCAAAGAAACTCTTGTATCTTTTTTACCAAGTATAACTTACTTGAATACAGGTGCAGTGATGATGGATTGGATTTACTGAAAAAATGAGAAATTAGAGCATTAAATTCCTCACTTAGGGAGTGCTTTATGATCACTAGTTATCAATCAAAATGTTTTTGGCACGTACAGTACACTTAGACACAACATACACTTTTTTATCAATAGTACTATAAAATGTGCATGAACAATATAAAAGGTGACAATAGTGTATATATGATTAAAGTTGCTGTGATATATATGATCACTGATCAATCATACAGGAAAAGAATTAAAAAAGAAATAATAGCAAAAGAGTAAAACGTGGTGATGGTTAGTAGTTAAACCAATATAACACACCATTATTCATACAATTGAAAGACAAGTACATAAGTATTACCATGAGGTTATCTTTATTAAACACACTGGGTTGGAATAAAAACTTTATTTGCGAACAGTACAATGTGAAGGTATACTAAACCAAATTATACACTGGTCAGGCACTTGTCCTGATGGAATTTAAAAATGGAAATGGAATGCTGTATCAGGTCACAGCCTTGTCAAAACTCAGACAGATGGCTTTGTGTCCATGATGTATTGTGTTGTAAGAAAAGGAAAGGATTCCATATTTTGCTTCATGTTGCAGTTGGACTTTCTGGAAATGCATGTCTCAAAACTCTGGTCCAACCACAGACCAGATGTCTGGATGTCTCCAGATGTACTGGAGCTGTTAAGCTCAATGTCCTTTGATATTCAGTGGTGTGGTAAAAGGTTCAGTCGTACTTTCTCGTTCATCAATCACACAATTTGAAGCTTAGACAAAACTTCTCTTGTTGCAAAGAAAATAGAATCTTGAAATTCTTGAAATAATTCTTGGACAGAATTAATGCATAATATAATACATGTAAAAATTATTCTTGAAAATGTCATTGAAAACAATATATATTTAGTAATCATGTCATTTAATTATACCACATACTGTACCTTAGGTGTTAGGTACTTAAAATGTCCTTTTCTTCCCTAGAGAGCTGAACAACAATCAAATAACATCTTTATCAGCTGATTTGTTTATCAGATACAGAAATCTGGAGAAACTGTAAGTATAACTATTCTAAATTCTTGACCAATTTACTTTGTATCTTTCTGTGGAATTTGTTGTTTGCAATTCACTTTTGTGAAGTGCTGCTCATATTTCCACAGTATCCTACTGTAGAATTATAATCTGCTTAGAATTTAATGCAGTTGCACTTTGCAGGGCAAAGTGTGAAGACTCCTTAGATAGATAAGAGCTATTACCATGTGATTAGCTGTGAAAATGTAATGTGTTACATGCCCAACAGGTGGTATTGCAGAATATGCAAATTTAAATACAATTATTTTTACAATCATGATAGATAATAACTTATAATAAATACATTTCCTTTAAAGAAGTCTTTAACAAACATTTTAAATAAGTCCAATAGAATAGAAAAAAAGCAATAGAGAAATTATTATACTTGGAAAAAGGTCAAATATATGGATTTTTCTGGTGATAAAGTATAATGTAGTGTGCCATACCCATTTTTATTATAATGTATAATATTTAGCTCTGATAAAAATATTTTATAATGCTTAAATAAACTGAAAATAAACTGCATTTAGCCAGCATTCTTTTCACTAAAACATGAAATTGGTTTAAAAGGTGTCACTCTCATAAGTGTACTCCATTAATCCTTTCCGATATTTGCAGCAAATCCTAAAAGTGCTGAATAGTTCAACAGTCTAAAATAAGAACTAGATATGCAATGAACAAGAGAAGAAAGAAATGTTAATCTAACCACTATGCTTTTTTTGTTTAGAAGCTGTTTTTCCAGCCAAGTTTACAACAAACAAGTTTGAAAGTCAAGTTCAATGTTTTGTTCTTTTCATCTCTGCCATCAGCAGTAATGAAAAAGAAGGAACTCATATAATCTACTGAGTTTTTTAATCCTGTCCGATTCAACGGAAACATGCCGGTTTCAAGTGATTTCAAGACACAAAACTGGGCTGTGCTATGTTGTTTGTTGACTGACCAAGATTTCCCATAGAAAAGTTTAAAAAAAAAACCAACACTATGGATTTTGTTCAAACATACCACCATATCATTGATTTGTCAAGCACCCAGACCCCCACATGGCTTGCAGTGTTATCAGAGCTGAGTCAATTCTTCCTCCAATACTGTAGCTCCTTTCCTAATGCTTGGAGCTCACGGTGTTTAAAATGTTTTGATATGTTTCAAAGAATGACCACTTCATGGTTTCACATCGTATGAGTGCCAGTGGTAAGCCAAGATTCCAAATTTTAAAAATTGACTTAAATGGTGAATTTTAAAACATTAAGGGGACACTAATACAAATTACTTTGTAAAATCCGTCTGCTTTTTGTGTCTGTACTTACACTAAAATCTAAAGTTGAATAAGTATACTGTATACAGTATGTACACTGTATAAGCTATCTTTATCAGTACAACAAACTACACTTTTGTATGTCTTTCTACCTTAATTTTCAAGTGGATTGTTGCATGTTTTAGAAATTAGTTTTTAACAGAGATTTAGTTTCTGCAATAAACATGGATTATTTTATGAAATCTACCTACCTTTGTTTTCACGATATATAATTCTCACATTATGGAGAACATAGAGTTGTTGTTACAACTTTCATTTCCTGAAAAATTATGCAGCCATTACTACATCTCTGACCTCACACTAAGCATGTATACCAAAGCCGTACACTTCTACTGTGCCTTCTACCCTTTTTCATTTAATGCTGGGGGAATGTGAGGCATTCTTGCCAGAAGTTTTGCAGTTGAGGCAGATTAAGGTGAAAGAAAATAGAAATGACTGCATTTCATTTCAGGGAACCAAGGTTGCAACACCAATGCCATGTTCTCTTTCAGATGGAATGCATTTGTTACCTCATGGGAGCAGATATACTCATGCAGTCACAGAAGAAGGATGAGGCAGCACCAATCAGGAGTTGACCACATGCTTCAAGATGGAATGTAGCCCCACCACAACTTACAGAAAGGTGCAATGCATCTGTAAAAATTAGTATATAAAAACGGACAGACATTCTGGCGGAGGTCCGTGTTGTCTCAGGGAGATCTGTCTTACACCAAAGAAAGGGCCCATTGGACTGTAGAAGTGTAACCTGTACCACTTTCCAACCACCTTCATAACAAAGGGATCAATCATGGCCCCTCAATGAACCAGATATTCTTGAGGTTCCCTAAGATACCCCACTCCAGAAGCCATCGAAGAAATAGATCCTCACCCATGGGGCTGGAACAGAGCATCCCCATGTTGTATACAGAGGCTTTCCACTCCTCCAATAGGCTCTGGTCCTCCATGTGCATCTTTGCATCTTGATAAGCGCTGTAAGGTGTGGACTCCCTAGTATGCATATGTGGTGAGCTTTACTGTAGATGCTACAACAGAAAAAGAATGATGACAGCATGTCTACTACTTTTATAACACACTTTTTATAAGGAGTGGGCGATGCATTTGGGAGGAATACTAATCTGCATCGAAGTCGAGAGAGCCAGATAGACTTGCAATTGAATGTCGAAGTCTCAAAATGGCGGGCTTTATGGAGACTAAAAGGTATACTGCCTTGGATGCAGGAGTGGGCTTTGCACCTGAGAAAGAAAGAAGAATGCTCCATAGAAGCAACACTGTAAGAATCAATCAACTTGCTTTTTCGGCATACGTGTAATGTAAATTGCACAAGAGCATGCAAACAATCTTCTACAGTGATAAATGCATGCGCAGATTCTAAATATTTAAGACAGTGGTCATGAATGACCACTGTCTTACTGTCTCAGGCCAGGCACTTGGCCCTGCACAAAACACTAAAAAAATGATACAAACCATTGGAAAATGTGATGATTCTTCCGTCAATTTTATGATGGTTAAAATGACTGCTGGTGGCAGGGGTCGTAGTCTATTAAAGTTGGTATTGAGATAAGACAGGACTGCATGCTTGTATCTGTCAGGTTTAAAATCTTCCTCCTATGTGTTACATCATTCCTGCACAAGCACATTGTAGAATAGAGTAGGGTGTTTTAGATCTTTAGTTGGATGGGAATCTCTTCAATATTAGGAGATTCCAAGCTGCCACTAAGCTAGGATCAGAACACATCCTTGAACTTCAGTATGCTAATGATTGTGCTTTTGTGACACACATCCCGGAAGCACTGCAAGCTACACTCACAGCAGCTGTACAAGCATGCAGTAGAATGGGACTGTCTGTGAATATTGAAATTGATTCCGTGTCAGTGGTCATCTAGTCCTTCCCCTGAGCTACCTGCTTTTACCATCTCTGATTCCACACCTACAGTACCACTGTGCCTCACTTTAAATACTTTGGAAGCATCCTTTATGAAGACTGCATGTTTGACCTGGTCAATCCTGGACATCCAGAAACAGAAATCAGGACTGAGAAAAAGAGTTTTCTGGAATCACAATCTACTGTATATCTAAACAGCAAAGGTATTCTGCAGCTACATAATGGTTCTCCTAATAGAGTCAGTGTCATTAAAGAGTGCAGTTACCATATTCATAATTTAATAATAAATCCTTTCATTTATATTGTGCTTTTCATCCCAAAGGATCTCAAAGCATTTCACATATAGGAAGAGACCATGACATACCAGCTGCACACCACTATGCAATAGTTTAGGTAAAGACGTGAGAACCAGCTTCACAAATTATATTAAGGGGAAACATTCAGAAGGCTGGATTATAGAGCCCCAGAGTGAAATTTAGCCAGCACAATGGTATTAACACCCCAACTTTTGAAAAGTGCTATGGAATTACTAATAGTCAGGACCATTGTTTAATTCATTCAAAGGAGAGCTTCTCCTACAGCACAATGTCTTTGTGCTGCGTTCAGGTTCATGTAGAAGAACACCACCTCCTGGTCTACTTGCAACAGCAACCTGGTTTTCCAGTACTGGCCATGGCCAGTCATAACTATCGTCTGATTACAACAGATCTCAGATGCTAAAGTAGTAATGCTGCGTGCTGCCTTTGTTTGGAGTGAGGTCAGTGACATGGCACTTCCCATGAGGTAATAACTGCATTTCATATGAGAGGGAGTAGAATGTGAGGCACCCAATAGACGTTCTTAGAAATCAAACAAAAATAAAACATTTTTGTAATCTTACAGTTTTAGGATGTTTGCCTCTAAGGTAGCAGTTATTTATTTTGGGAGGTGAGTAGCCAAGTGATTTCTAAATGTGAAACAGCTGTTAAGTGTATTAATATAATAAGTTATAGAAGACAGCACAAACCAAGCGTAAGCACTCCTCCTCTTCTGAACCTATACCAAACTGGATTGCTAAAGAAGAGTATCAGTAACTCCAGTAAACTGTGTACTTCAGAGCACCTAGGTGGTACTTTTTTGTGCTGAATAAAACCTGTCAATTCTGGAATATAATTGGAAACACATTATAATCAGATTACGTTATGACTTTTGTTCAGAATCTGTGTGAGTTCTGAGGATGACGGGTGAGTACAGACTCAAAGTTGTCCAACATGGTGTAAGTTATTTATTTCACCACAGGAGAAACCCCAAACATTAGTACTAACTGGTCTCCCTGACCCCACAAAGCGGTCTTAAATGTATATCCCCTAGGGCTCCAAAATTGGAGAGGCATGGGGTCTCACATACCGATTGAAGTTGTCATGACAACTTCATGCAAACCAAAAACAAGAGCCCTGGACATTTTCTTCCTATAAGAAGCAGCTCTCCAATCTCATGCTGTGAGTCAAAAGTCTCACCACTGCATAAAGCAGCCTCAGTAAGTCTAAAAGCCTACTTTCCAGCTCATGGACACTACACTGCTCCTTCCTTATCATTCACATACACACAAGCAAAGGAAAAATGACTATCTACAGAAACAGATAATAAAAAGCAGGTATTTTTAGCAGCCCAGTATATTTATCTGTCTTCAGGCCCATGGAACCTGATTGTCTGGAAAATGAACTATAATGTACTCTTTATAGCATTTGTTTTTTTACAAGGAGGTTTCAAAAGCATGACAGTTTGTGTATGTAAAAGAAAAAAACATTGCTATGTTTCTTTTTCAGACACTTGCAAAATAACAGCATCAGCAACATATCCAACAGAGCTTTTTCTGGACTTCGGAATTTAAAAAAGCTGTGAGTGTCTACCTTGAGTGTTAAATTAAGAGACGAGGAAAATAAAAGTTAATTCAAAGTATTGTACAGTTCCGATGGTATTTCATATATTATGAAATTATAATGAAATTAAAATTAAATCAATGTGAATGTGTTTCTCTGAATTCTGACTAGATTCCTCAGTCAAAACAGAATTACTGTGCTGAAGACTGGAGTTTTCAGGGACCTTGAAAGTCTTGAATGGCTGTAAGTTGAGTTAAAGTATCTTCTACTTGCATATACCACAAATCACTAGTACAAATTTGTTTACATTTGTTCAATTTAAAAGTTTCTGCTTTTACTGCACTATCAACACATTTCAGTTCTTGATTTTCCTTTGCATTTTTAATAGAATTGTTCCGTTCGATCATTAAAGTTTAGATAAAAAATATTCACATTAAAAATGTGACACTTGAAAGTCAACAAAATGGGCTATGATCTCTGCGCATTAATACTTTTCTGTGCAACTGTATGTACAGTACATCGGCACTAGTTAATTGATGTTTAAACCTTATATTGAGTGATGTATATTGCTTTGCTGCATCATTTGTACAAGAGCAGCTTCTAAAACACAAACCCAAAAGAGATCAAATTGCTGCATGGTGAGAGTCTTATTTCTTCCTCTAAAACATTGTTTTTACATAAACACACTGATATAGTTTATCTACTGTAAATATATTTCCAAATACTAATGATTAGAAAAATGATCTCACTTTGGTTTTACAATTGCTAGTGGTGTTTTAGCGGATATTATTTTAGAAAGTGTCAATATGTACATTTTAGGGAAATAATTCTGAAATTGTCCTGGCTTACACTAGTTTATTTATCATATGAAAACTGGCTTTAATCCAAAGACTGTTTCTCTATAGGTCCCATGAGTAATTTCATACCACTAGACAATAATTATTTAATAGCATCTTTTTAAAATGTCAGCCTACTGTACATAGAAGGGACAGCCTTGAAGTAATCAAAACAGTGAATTATAGTACAGTGAATTACTGTAGCACTTCTACAATAATAGAATTGAGCTTTTGAAGAAATATTTTTCCATGCTGTAACTTAGAAGAATATGATACTATTACAGAGAATAAAGGGTTGGTGGTGCCTAATTGTACAATTTTACATTTCAATAATAACAGACCAGTAAAAGAAGTTGAAAGAGTTGAAAAGCCAGAATGAATGTTATTGTAGATCCTTTTGTAAAATGCAGATCATTTTAAAGGAACCTTGATCTTCCACTATAGACATTTATTTTCACATGCAGCTGTCAGCCAAAGCACTTGTACTTTTCATATAAAAATACTGATTAGAAGACTTATACAGTATATAAATATTTCGAGTATATGATTATACAAATTAATATACAGATCATACATCCTTCCTTTAATTAATGCATTTAATCCATGAGATGAATGCATCATTATGTTTTGGTTTATCTTAAACTCTGTTTACTTTAAGTATTCATTTAAGATTCAGCTCAACGGATTGTGAAAGACCTCTGCGATCCTTCAGCATGAAATGGCCTTGTTAATTGTGCAGCAGGTGGTATGGTGGCACAGCAGTTTGGGATTATTGTTCTTTGGAACTGATTACAAGCTGGGACACCTTCTGTGTATGGAGTTTGCCCACTCTTCCCTGTGTTTTCTTTCTCTTCCTACCTTCTAATGACATTGTGGGTTAGTTACCTGGTGTCTTTAAATTAACCCTCTGTGCTTGCATGTGCTCCCTGCAATGGACTGGCATACCATCTACTGTATTTTGTAATCTCACCTTGTGCCCTTAATGTATACAGTAGGTTGTCTTTAGATTTCTACTATCTATGCAAGGAATATGTGGCTTTTTGATAATGGATGAATGGGTAATTCTGTAATTATACTCCCCATTGAGTTTCTGCCATGTATAATGACCTTCATACTTGTTTATGTGATATGATTAATCTTTCCTACACTGTAGTGAGTCATTTTGCATTATAACTTTTTACCTTAGCTAATTTATTTTAATACATTTTGCATTACAATTTCCATTCTAGCCCTCATAATTGCTTTTTTCAGTCTTCCAGTAGTCCACTGACAAATGAGGATATTAGTGTAGGAGTAAATTCCATACATTAATGCTGTAACATGTTAGAATGTTGTAACATTATATTTAGCTATATTATTAACTATAGATTTTTTCAGCAGTTGCAGTAAAGTTGTTTAAAAGTATACTTATGAATTCTAAAAACAAACACCGTCCTATTTTCAAATATATGATTTGATGCTCAATTGCTCTGTGTATTTTGTTTCTTTCAGAATTCTAGAAGAGAACAAAATAGCTATCATAAGACAGAAGTCATTCACAGGACTCAAATCACTATATTTCTTGTAAGTATCATAGCACATTATTTGACACAAACCAGTAGGTAAAAAGTACAAGCACAGTGAAATACTGTACAAGTGCATAAGTGTCAAACACTTTATTGTCAGTGTCAGAATAATTCCACCATGTACAGTACTGAATGTTTCTACATCATGGACTAACAGTATTTTTGACAAAAAAACAGTTCTAAGTAAAAGAGAAAAGAAACTCAGTTTGATGAAAACCTGTTGCTAACATTTAAACCTTATTACTACTGTAACAGTATTTTGAAGTATGCAAATTGAAGCTTAATATTGTGTTTCGGTAATTCATAATGAAAACATACATCTGAATGAGTTCTAAGTAAATACAATTGATTTAAGATCTAAGAATGATGTCACTCCATTTCTTATTTTTTCAATGCTTCATGTGATTACAACAAGGCCATTTCATAAATAAGCATTTCATATACATTGTAAGGCAGCAGAGTTGTTATGTTCTTTAGTTATTACTTATATATTCATTGATAGAGAGTGGTGCTCGAGATAGCTCAGAATAATGTAAATATGTTCAGTGAGTAAAGTATGTTATTAAACTGAGGAGATGCCAGAGGGTACCTTGGTATGATCAGGTGCAGACAGCCTAATTTCTTCAAATCCTTATGCTTAATATGCCATATATATATATAATTTAAAAACTTATCAAATGGTTGTCAAAACTTGTTTCGTCAACAACGGGTGTGGTTGCCAAGGTGACATATTTGCAAAACAAACAAGTTTTAGCGGTAGGCCATTTTTTTTATCCTGTGCATTCAAATAGTCAAGAATACAAAAATGCAATAGCTAAAAAGCCTTATTTTATAGGATGAGATGAAACAACGAATAACATATTAATAGCTTATTTCTGCAATGTACTGCATGAGGATCACAAAATGTATTTCAAATCCATTTTTTATATTTCACAGCTGTAAAGACACTGTTGCTTTTTTTTTAGTTTCTATTTTAATTGTCCTTCTACTCAGAATCTCAGAAAGGTCTCTGTATGATTAATATAAATGTGCCTGTATCAAAAAATTGAATTCCAGGATACAGGAGAGCAGGTGCTGCTAATTGGAAATTGAAAAGTCAGATTTTAATGAGAGTTTGAGGAATGAAAAACTACAGAACAAAGCTTCAGCACATTAATGACAAACTCAACAGGAATCCAGGTGTCCCTATACACAATTTTAAAAGAGGTGATGCATAATATAAATTTTGATATTAGGACTTATCCCCCTCCAAAAGAAATGTAGAGTAGATACAGTGTCATGACTTCTAAAATAAGATGTAGTTCAACTTCTCTTAAGGGAAAAACATTAATAAACTATTAATAAGCAATGCAACACTTACTGACAGTGTCACTAATTAATCATTAAAACCTTCCAAATGAATTTAAAGGTCATGGAATGTTAATAACATACAATAAACAGCTGGACTGAGTAAATTATTTTGGCTTAAACTAATGTATTCTTACTGGCAAAAAACATATTTTACTCTGTTTATATTTTTAGATCTTTGCTTAACAATTCTCTTGAACATATCCCAAGGAAATCGTTCTGCTTAGAAATGCCGATGTTGAACTGGCTGTAAGTAATAAATATATACAGTGGCTCATGTATTGGTTTTCCTTATTTCATTTGCTGTTTTCTTCTGTCATGAAGATTTTTTTCTGTCAAGATGTTTGTAGGACATGGCATAAATATATTAGATTAAACCTATTGCATTAGAATGTATCATACAGGACAATATTTAATCATTTTTCGCAATGAAGGTCTCCAAATTAAGGAAATTTTATTGACAGGTTGCTGCCAATTCCAAAATTATTTTATTACTTGTGCCTGACATTTCTAAAACAATGAAACATCTTCATTTTTTATAAAGATGAAATTCAATTCAATTTCTATTAGTCAAATTTTGTCTTTGTCTCAACAGAGAACTAGAAGGCAACATGATTTCATCATTACACAGTTCTGGCTTTCGAGAATGTACTTCTCTGACAGTGCTGTGAGTAGACATTAAATTACATCATTTTGCATTTATTTTGAAATGATTACAATTCAGTACAATTTGCAGTGGTAGGCTTAGGTTTTGGCACCTTGTGCCTAAAATATTAATTCTTTAATTTGGTAAGTCTTGTAAATATTGTTCATTGCTAAACACTTTGCCAGCAATATCACTTCTACATACAGTATACAGTATTACATACTCACTCGTCCTAACGTTAAGATGCAAGGTGTTTGTATTACAAGTATATGGACCTTCTACCAAATATGCAATGTTTCAATGTTAGTAAGAGAAACATAGTAAACATGAACAAAGGTAACAGGTATTATGATTGAAAATGTAAGCTTCATAACCTGAAAATCCCAACAGCAGATAGCTTCAGCAGCAACATTGGTGCATTTCACTACAGAAACTAAGCACTAAGATACAGTACCAGGTGGTATGATCCAAGATATTCTCCTGAATCCCAGTGGAAAACTCATTAAGTAGATGCACCATTTAAAAGGTCACCTTTGACAAAGTACAGGAAAAAGTCTCTTACTTCTGGAACTATGGTATGGGGGAAATCATAATCGTATAGCAGGTTTTCTGCCAGTAGATTTGGTTTGACTGCCATTCCCTGCAGTGCAGGAATCTTCTTTGGAATTGTAGTGAATTCGTTATTTTGTATCCTACAGTGCCCCAAGAACTACAGGATGTGTGTCTCATTAACAAAATAGACAATTAATGTGAACAACAATGATGGTGTGCTTCTTGCATTTTATCCACATACAGTAGCTGATTTAAAAAGCTTAGTTTTCTTTCTAGTATAGAAAGGATACAAAATCTACCTACTGTATGCTTCAAGGCTACAAGTTATTTTTTTGCTTATTAAGATAAAAAACCTTTTTGTTTTCAGTGTGTTGGTATAATATCCTCATGTGTAAGGTTAGCAGTGTAGCAAATTCCACTTTGACAATGAATCAAAGTTTTGTGTAGACCACCGTGATGGACAAGGTGTGCACAATGATGAATCCTCTGTTATGTACAATGGACCAATCACTTTGGAGGTCCATGTGTGATGGTCTGGCAAAGAATGTCTAGTCACTATGGCACTCCTCTGATTGATTGATGTCAACCTGGCTGCATTGTGCTTCACAGGTGAAGTCCATGTACTTCACTTACTGCCCTTCCTGCAGGCTCACCCTGGTCTAATAAGATACAGCATGTCAGCACATATTGTATTGCTATTGTTGCTCATGTGATAAAGGCTTTCTTGAGATGTGAGGCCAAGGCAGTTATATTGTATATGCCCTACTTTCACAAAATGAGTTCCAGCCAACATTTGTGGGATACAAGAGGAAGGGGACAGAATCCCACAAGACAGCTTCCGCACACTGCTGCAGAGCGTGTGTTGCAGATGTATGGCTTGTATTTCTTCCAAACCTGGTGACACATGCTACTAAATTCTGACTGTCACTCTAGATCCCCGGTTTATGAACCCGCTTGGTGATAAATGTTAATCAGGATGATACATTTACATATGTCACATCAGTTCATTAAATGCTATTGTTACTGCTACAAAAATAATAATTTTCATAATAATAACTTCTGTTGCACTTATACATTTGACTTTTGATGCTCAGTATTTTTACGCGATTTGTACATTAGAAATTGGATCATTTCGTGTTAAAAGTGTTGTAAAAGCTGTGGATATAGCTTTGTACATTTGGGAAAATAAGTTTGTTATGCCTAAAAAACATCAAACTTTTATTATCAAACATAATGTATAGATTGTGCAATATTAGTTTTAAATGTATACTGTATATAATTTTTTTATTGGTTGAAATGAAGTAGAAATGCCCAGTGTTCCTGTGGTCTACATTCCTTTAATAATGAAAAATTACATAAATATTTCTAATTAAAAAATATTTTATGTTTTTACACTTACAAAAGTTTTAAGTGTGTGATACATTTAATCTGGATGATGGAAAAGGTTCCTGTCAAATTTGGACAAATGGTCTGACTATAACTTTGTTCACTCATGGGATACTTATTTTAAAATATTTTTTTGTTAAACTTTGTGAAATACATAATTAAGATGAACAAGCCTAGAGAACATAGTTATTAGTCAAGATTTTTGAGCATTTTATAAATGGCACAGTTCTTCCTGAGGATATCATGATCTGAAATAAACTTGGAAATAATGAGGTTGGCAGCTTCTATCACACAATGAAACCTTTAGGACATTGTCTGCTGGTGCTGATAATGAGAAAAGCCAGGAAAGAAAATTCCATTCATGTGATTGCTGTCTAAGTATTAGGAGATTAGTACTTTCTGTATAGAACAGCAATGCTCTGTTAAGTTGATGGTGAAGATAATAATACAAATATCTAGCGGGAGCAGAGTAACTTTTAACATGGACCAGAGCTATTACACTAAATATCAAAGGTTATTTTTAGATGACTGAAATGGATACATACTGTACATATTTAGACAGTTAAGACAGAATTGTGTGTAGCAATTGTACACGCAGTATAAAAGCACTGTTTTTTGTTCATATAAAGTACCACAACACTTATTAAAATGTTTATTAATCGTTACTGGATAATTAGAGATTATTTATAAACTATTACAAAGTATTTATATTATTTCTGAAAAACAATGTTTTATATTTTGTATCATTGACAGATATTACCTTCCTTTCATTTCACTATAAAATCACTGCAGCTTTCCAATAGCCTGGAGACTAACACTATCCGGAAGGGTGCTTCACTTCAAATAACTATTTCTGCTCTTAACACACTCATCTTTTAAGAATGATAAGATATTTATTGGCAGAGGGGACAGGTCTTGATTGCACTTCCAGCAGATAAATTAGCTTTGAGTTAAGAGAAAAGTTTACCCTGACACATTGCAGGCAGTCTCAATGGATTGTAATTTCAATGCAATCCCAAACATTAGAATTTCTGTTGTTGCCTTACTTTTTCACCCTTATCATCACTGTCGTCTTGGAATGTAATGGAAATAGCCACTTAGAAGACACACAGATTTTAGGATATGTGAAATGTTGCTCATCCAGTTTCGTATTGTTGTCCTTCACGTTTACAAGCTTCTAAGTTAATACCTAGTTCAGGGAAAACTTACTGCTACGTGTATTGTATTTAAGGTACCTCATATTTAAGACACCTTCTGCAGCTACTGTATCACTGATTTTTATATGGTTTATAGGTAAACACATATCAGTTTGTTTGTATATTTCTGTTGAACTCTGCTTAGCATGTGAATATGAGAATTTCATTACCTGCACAGAGCCCATTACTTTTTTTGGTAATTAGTAAATGATCAAAGAATTGCAAGGAAGAGGTTTTATCAATTACCCCCAATGGTCGTTTTAATTGGTCTCTTCCTCCCTTGCCTCTACCTGCCTTTTTTGGATTCATTTCATGATGTGGGGGAGAAGTAGCTGGTATACTGCCCCTTACTCCAAGGTCAGATAAGTTACTTACAGGTCAGGAGTTGCCTGAAGTCAAAGTCAAAGGTCAATAAAGCGTATATGTTTAGTGCATTTGTTGCCTAAAAAAAGACTAAGAAAAATATCAAGCAAGTCATCTTGATTTTCATGGTAGGATTATAGAAATTTGCAATGATCCTCACTATCTTTAACATTATCTTTTATCTTTTATCCTTTTCAATTTCCATTGAACTATAATTGTATAGGTGGTAGACTTGATGGTAGAATGCACAGATGCTCCTATCACTTTTTCCTTTTACTTTTAACTTTAATGAATGCAAGGCAATAACTACACAAAAAAGCCACATCGTGGAGTATAACCAATCATAGGAAGGAAAATATCTAATATTTTTCGCCCTTTTTCAGAGCGCTACGCAGGAACCAGATACAAATGATTGAAGAAGGAACATTTTCCACAATGCACAAGCTAATAGATCTGTAAGTCCTCTGTCTTGAATTTGTTACCTTTTATTAAATTAAAATGTTAATTTAAACATATCACCTTCCTTTTCTATTTCAGCTCCTAAAAGATACTTTTGTCAAGAACTCTTATCTGTCATCAAAGCAATCTCCATTACTTTTCTGAGTGGAAATGAAACATAGACCTAGAGAATAATGTAGCTGTCAACCACTATCCACATTGCTCTGGAAGCTGCTTTCCACCTATTGCATCTCATTTTTCCTAATTCTGGCATTTCTATGACCCTTCAGTTTAATGTGCTGTATCTTAGACATGAAAAACACACATGATTGTGGCTTTATCTTCATTTCTATGAGCTTTCTGAACAAAGTAAGGAATTTCCATTAGCCTCTTTCTTGCATTGTTCTTTATGTCACCCCTGTAATGTATAATGCAATTTTGAGGAATAAGAGAAAAAAAAATCCCAAGTAAATATTATAATAAAGGACCAATATGACACCAAGAGCCACTTCAATTCAATTCCAATGCTGAAAGCAAAATTACAGTCCAGCCTAAACAATTTACACTGTGCATTTAAGAACACAGTAACAAGTAAGGGAGGTTGCAAATAAGAGGTGTAAATTCAGCCAATCTAACTCATATCATTGCTGGTGGCTAATCAATCCATGTCTTAATAGACGTATATGGGTATGAGCATCAGAAAGTCACAACTTAAAAAAATGCTACCTGATCTCAGGTTCAAACGCTCCCCTAGTTTCCACTTGTGTCTTCTGGTTTGTCTTTCACTTTAGAGTCTGAAAATGTCAATTGGGTCAACACTGTGGCAGTTCACCTTAGAAAAGAGCTGAAGTTACAGGCAACCTGCCACTAGAACCCGCTATATGGATCAGAATTTATAGTCACAGTGGTGATGAATTTGGAAATTACTGGTTAATTGGTAAAAAAATTAACAGTAGAATTAATATGTGGGTGCACTTGGTTTTTGGCTAGTAGTAGGAGTTTGGGAATTTTAGAGTGAATTCCTTTTGTTGATTTGTGGTTGTACTGAAAAAGATTATAATGAAACCTACTGGATTCTACTTTTTTAAGCCATTGTCAGTTTTGTATATGCAGACACTTGTGTCCACCCTGATTTGTTTTTTTCAAGACCTTCAAAAACCTTCTATTATTTTTGTCAGTCAGTGTAGGACATTCCTTTTAACTTATAAATCCTTTTAAATATATGTTTTTGTAATACTGTATGTTGACGAATATTGTAGACACTATTTTAGATTAAGTCTTTGACATTTACAGTACTTACATATTTGGTCCTTGATTTAAATGTTGTACTTTTAAATATATATCCTAACATTCTACCTTTTTTTCTTGCTTCCCCACACTGTCTAGAAGATGGAAATTATTTCATTTTAAATCACCAAAGTATTTTTCATACATAGCTTTTTCTAACTGTATATCTCATTAATTGGCATTTTAAATATATATTTTCTGCTCCATGAATGTATTACTTGGCAGATGAAATTTATCATAGTTAATTGCTAGGTATTTGCCTGCTTATACATTGTGCTAACAATCTTTTTGAATTTCCTCTGTATCTTCTACAGCTTTTCTAATCCTTTTGCCTTGGTCATATCTGCAAACCTCACCAGTTTACAATTTATAACAGAATGTAGATCATTAATATAAATTGCGAAGAGCAGTAATTATAACACACATTCTTACAGTACATGCCTAATAAAAACAACCCAGGGTTTGAAAAAACAATTCAACCCTTATCTGTAGTCTATTTCTACTCATTAAAAGCTAAAATTTGCATGAGCAACCAACATGAAGTGCTGTTGTACAGTAGTTAAACGATCACATTTACTAAGCAAATTTGAAGGACTCATCATCAGTTGTTCTTCTTCCTCAACATTTCCTCCTCTCTATGCATTCATAAACCTGAAATGTTGTTTTTTGTACTAAAAACAATCACTGCTATCTACTAGATGGAAAAACAACTACAATGATTAAATGATTAATTTGAAGAAGAACAGAAAAATGAAAAATTTTTGCACACAGAGTATATTAATCCAAATATATATGTAAACATACAAATCAGTATTCCTCCATGTTATCTTCAGGGTGTAGTCCCACAATGTAATTTCTCTATGTACAAATATTATTTTATGCCCATTTTAATACAAAAGAAACTTCTGTGGCTCCTCATCACCTCATCTGTTGCCTCGCTAGTCTTAAGAGTGCTATGCAGTAGCTAACGAGAAGTTATAAATTAGGCAACAAAGAAAGGAAGTCACCCTACCAAATAGAACTGTAAGGCTGAAAGAATTAAACTAAAAGGTGAAAAACCAAAGGTGAAAACAATACCATGAGGCATCAATCATAGAGTGTATTGGTACTCTTGCACTAACATGGAAATACAGAAAAAAAATAATGATGTCCTTTCTCATTTTCCTCAATTTCAAATGTGAAAGAGGTCAGATTATAATGAGAGGTCACTGTCACAATTACCTATTTCAGCCTAATTATGTCTTCACTTTTACACTTTACTTTCATGCATAATTTAGTACTTTGTCTTCGTATTTCAGAGACTTGTCTGTAAATAGGATACAAGACTTGACTCCATCCTTGTTCAGAAACCTTCACAACCTGAAGCAGCTGTAAGTATTTTCACAGAATTATTTTCCAAACTGCTGTTTGAAAAGCTAGTTTTCAAGAAGGAAAATTCCATCCTAAGAATACTCAGGTCTCTCAGAAACTGTTTTTCTCTTGTTAGAGTACATTTCCATTAATTTTAGGATTTTTTCCAGATCATTTTATGAAGATGGCTATGAGTCTCCAAGCATGGAGTAGGCGATGACATAGTGAAAAAAAGGCATCTTAAATGCTTGTAAAACAAATACAGAAGAAGAGGAGGGAGCTAAGCAAGTAGGCCAGAAAATGATTTGCTACACTATTGTAGCAGCACATTGTATAGCTTAAAAAACTAGTTGCTAAATACTACAAATACATTTCGTTAAATATAAAGAAAAAAATAAAAACAAATCAGTGAAAAAAATAGATTCCTAATCAAATCCTAAGGAAAAAATGTAATCTAAAGTTTGTACAGCAACATTGCTAAATGTTCAAGCTTTCTGTGATATACTGTAGACTATGCATTAAACTGAAAAGTAAATAATGGTGGCAAATAATTTTTATGGTTTCAAATGTAATAATGAGATTTTTAAAATATTATTACAGCATTTTTTATGAGTGTTCACCTGAAATTATTTTACTGTATATGTTCATTATTCCATTCAATGATCCATTTTCATTAAAAACTTTGTCCTTAGAGAATCACAGTGGCTTCATTATTATTTTTCCTTTAAGTTAGCAGTCATTAACAGTCAGCCAGCAGCCATATCACCCTGCAACTCACAACTGGCAACCCACTGAAGCTAAGCAGGTGTGAGCCTGGTCAGTACCTGGATGGGAGACCTCCTGGGAAAAACTAAGGTTGCTGCTGGAAGGGGTGTTAGTGGGGCCAGCAGGGGGCGCTCACCCTGTGGTCCATGTGGGTCCTAATGCCCCAGTATAGTGATGGGGACACTATACTGTAAACAGGCGCCGTCCTTCGGATGAGACGTAAAACCGAGGTCCTGACTCTCTGTGGTCATTAAAAATCCCAGGGCTCTTCTCGAAAAGAGTAGGGGTGTACCCCGGTGTCCTGGCCAATTGGCCCTTACTAATCATGGCCTCCTAATAATCCCCCTCTATGAATTGGCTTCATTACTCTGCTCTCCTCCCCACTGATAGCTGATGTGTGGTGAGCGTTCTGGCGCACTATGGCTGCCGTCGCATCATCCAGGTGGATGCTGCACATTGGTGGTGGTGGAGGGGAGTCCCCATTACCTGTAAAGCGCTTTGAGTGGAGTGTCCAGAAAAGCGCTATATAAGTGTAAGCAATTATTATTATTAATTATTATTATTATTCAAAATATGGAATACAAACATTTCAGGAAATAATTAAGACTACAATGTGTTTATTCGCCATCATTTCCTTCTCATCAATTCTTGCATTGTCTGTTATAAGCTACTATCTGTCACCTTAATTGACAAGTCACATCTGGAACATACAACAAAGCAGATTCGATTCTTGTATTTATTCCTTAAAACATCATCATCCCATACTACATTTTGTGTTGTTTTTTTCAGGAACATTTCTCACAACCCTTTGACTCACATCTATGAAGAACAGTTTGACAACTTTGTCAATTTGCAATCACTGTAAGTAGTCTGTGTATGTTAAATTTCACATTTTTACATTTGAGCTGAAAGGCAAAAAACAAAACACATTTTATATTGGGTCAGTACTGGCAGCTAACCAACAGTTGTTAATAATATAACCCATTAGCTCTATAACAACCAATTACCAGTTTTGATGTATATTTCCAAATTGAATTTGTCTACCCATTATCAAAAAGCTGCTTATTTTTGAAAGGGTCATGGTAACCTAGCTTATGATGAAATTACCCACTTCAGTCAGGACTACACTATTTTTGTAAGCCAGTAACTGCAGGATACACACACCATTTAACAGGGGTAATTTAGAGACTCCAACATAGCCATACTGATGGAAAAAAGAAACACCTCCTCCTCCACACTCTGGCCCTTCCGTCTGCGTGGAACAGGCTGAAGAGTGACTCAGGCTGAAGAGTGACTGTGAAGAGGACCTGAGTCCATCGCAGCCTCTGTCTGGCCCAAGCCAGTCGGGTGTGACGTCTAGGAGGTGTGTGCAGAGGGCCTCTGACAGGTCGCCTTGCTCTGAGGCCAGCAGCATGGAGCCTCACTGTCCTGTCACTGATGCAGGCATTGTGTCTGCCGGCAGTTTCAGCAGCAGTACGGGTAGCAGATCAGAAACAATCTCTCAGATGGACCAGTCTGATGTGTTGGTCCTGCTTTGGTGTGGTCACTCAAGGGTGACCGGATCTTGGACGGTCATCTGTCCTGCAGGTCTGCTATAACCTTCTCTGCAGTCAGGACACAATGGAACGGCTTACTCCATAGTGTCTGGCAACGCTGGCACATGACATGCCAGCCTGCAGCATGCCAATGGCCCTCTCCCTTGCTTCTGGTGACATTCGAGGCATTATGGAATGCACAGAAAACTGACTTAGTGTGGCCTTTTTCTTGCAGTGACCTAAGCTTTGAATTAAGGCCTTTTTAAAGGTGACCTGATCAGGCATTGTTCCACCTGGACCTCATTGGGTAAAAGTGCACATAATGAGCTTCGTGTGATTGGCAAGTTGCAATGCTTCACTGCACAAGCTGTATTGCTGGTCAGAGGGCTTAAAACAAATGGACAACTTTTAGTGAAAGTACAGAAGCTATAACTATAGTATTCTCATTCGACAAAATGTTGCGTTTCTTTTTTCCATCAGTATACTGTATATGGAAAGTGGAAGGAAACTAGAGTAATGGGCAAAAACTCATGGTGAGCAGAATATTTTTTAAAATCAATACACATCTCAAGTCCTGTTTTTTCCATTTAGACTCCAAATCCCCTGCCTTTTTCCCACTAGAACTGTACTGTTTTAATATCCAGTTCTCTCCCTATTTTAGTTAAAGGGTTGAAGATAAAAAAAATGTGAAAATATCTACAGTAATTGCTCGATCTCCTGGCAGAGTTCCTGTTCCACATTCAAATAAACCATGTAAAAACCCTGTTTTGATTGAAACAGAGTTTTTTTTACCTAACTGGAGGCTGATAAACTGTCAGAAAATATATGTTTGGGGTTTTCTTTCTAGTGATTAGTTTTTAGCTGTTTGTAATGTGAGGCACACTTTTTGCTGGTGACTTACAGTATACAATAACAATGCATTGGTGCACATACAGTACATTATAATTGTGGCTTAAAGACAAAAAAACACTTAACGTTTATTTAATCACACAGAGTGAATGCTTTACCCATAACAAGCAATACTTGTATATGAGTATGTCTTAAAAGCTGTGTGTTAATTTGTGTTAACTTTTAGGGGTATGGAAGGAATTGAAATTCCAAACATCAGTAATCGGATGTTTCGTTCTCTTGGAAATCTTTCACACATGTAAGTGAGGCATTAAAAATTAAGTATCTGGCATAGTATTCCCATAATACTATGCCTCATAATTCTTAATTTGTACCTTGAAGAAGAAACATGACAAGAATTAATTGTCTGTGGTTATTTGCTTGAGTAACTTATCTGATTATAATATATAACGATGCTTTAACGATTTACTGAACCATTGCTTTTTCTGTGGCTTCATTTAGATATTTTAAGAAGTTTGAGTACTGTGGATACTCTCCCAACGTTCGCAGTTGTAAGCCGAACACAGATGGCATCTCATCGTTTGAGAACCTGTTGGCTAATATAATCCTTCGGGTGTTTGTGTGGGTTGTGGCCTGCATAATCTGTTTTGGAAACGTATTTGTGATATGCCTACGGTCCTGCATTGCTTCAGAGAACAGACATCACACTATGTCCATCAAATCTCTATGCTGTGAGTAAATCTGCATTCTGGGAGAGAGGTGCTGGGGCCAAAATTAATCAAAAACAATCTGGATTCAAGAAAATGCACCATCCAAATGCGAAAACAAAGTATAACACAAGAGGAACAGATTTTGCGTTAACAGGTTTTTTTGGCCAATGCCCAAAAAGTTAATTGAATATACAATCAAACCTTTAAATTCATCACTACAAACTAAAATCATCCTGTTTTCCACAGATTACAAAGTTTGCTTTTTTTGCATGTGTATTTGTAACACAACTGTGTGATATTTACAATGGTGGACTTAAGGAAGACACAACACTACAGAGTCTTTTCTCACTGTTTGATGACTATTTACCCCAAGTGGGACTGAAGGGATGGCTAACTTCTCTATGGCGTCTGTGGGTAGGTCAGAAGATCAAGTAAAAGATCAAAGCAAATCCTTGCAGGTAGAAGATTGTGCTCTCACTCTCTGACAAAATGACAATGTACAACTGGACCAAGCTAGTGCACAGGTGTAGTTTGCCCTGTATAAAACAGCTCTGACCTCCACAATGTTGTCTGTGCTCTAAAGGAGGTGCACATCTATCAGATGAACATATCTTGTGTTAGTGAAACCAAAAGCGATTTGTTTACCAGTATACAAAATGTTCTCATGCAGCTACTTAATGAAAAAGGTTTTAATCAGAGAACAGTTAGTCATATTATACTCCCATGTCCCACTTATTTGCATGGTTTCTCTTTTTTTATTTTGAAAAAAAACTGTAGATGAAGATGATTGAAGTGGCATGTGTAAAAAAAAACAAGTTATTACCAAAAAGGGATGAATGTCACTTACCACTTAAATATATATATATATAAGAATAACAATTCTGATCTGTTTATCTCCCAGGTGCAGACTGTTTGATGGGAGTCTATCTCTTCTTCATTGGAGCCTACGATATTAGATATTGTGGTGAATATAACAGACATGCTCAGCACTGGATGGAAAGCTTGCAGTGTCAGCTGATTGGTTCTTTGGCCATGCTTTCAACAGAAGTATCTGTGATGCTTCTGACCTACATGACCTTAGAGAAATACCTGTGCATTGTCTTCCCTTTTCACAATTACCGAGCAGGGAAGAAACAGACTCTTTCAACCCTCATTGCGATTTGGATTCTGGGCTTTATCATTGCTGTAATCCCTTTCTGGGACAAGAACACTTTTGGAAATTACTATGGAAGGAATGGAGTCTGTTTCCCTCTGCATTCTGATCTCACAGAAAAACCAGGAGCCAGGAGCTACTCGACTGGAATATTTCTTGGTAAGAGACCTGAATAGAGAAGTCCTTAGGGCTGTTTGTGCAGTTCAGGATAAAGTTTAAGAAGGATGTGTTCTTTTGTTCACGGATTAAGTTTCCATTTCATCTTATTTTACTCCAAGACATGCCATAATCATTATAGGATTTTCATCATCCAGCGTGCAAGATTGAATTCAACCATTTGAAGCTTTAAAGGTTATCTCTCACTCAACTTAACATTTCCTGCAATGGATAAGGTCAAATGAAAGACTGCATTTACACCTTCTCTAGATGAAATACAAACAAAAGTTTTCATGCAAAGAAAAATGAAATGGGAAGAAATCCTCTTTCTCTTCAGTGGTTGAGATTGAAACACTTTTTAATAAGAGAATATTGAGCTTTCTCTTCAACACCTATTATTAATCATTTATTTGGCTGGTATTTTTACCCAAAACAACTTACATTCGTACAACATCTGTATTTACTTTAGTAATCTGAGAAAAGTACTTTACTAGAGTGTAACAGCAGTACACACTTGATATTTGAACCAACAACTGCCCAGGTTATAAATAAAGTTCTCTAACTCCTATCAGGGCAAGCAACAGGTGCAAGGCAGGCTATGCTCTGGATAGGACACCAGTCCACTGGATGGCACACACAAATGCAAACACAGACACGCACACACTTTTAAAGCATAAAGTAATCTCATTAGGTCAATTATATAACCTAACAGTAGGTTTGACATTTGACTTAAGCAGTTAAAGGCTTGATTACATAGTGGAGATTAGATAAAATGAAAATGAACAGGTTTAGGGAGTCCTTAGGACTGAAAATGGCTAGTCCAAGTCTAAAGCCAACACCTTCACTGAAGCCAGTAATAATATGAAAACAGTATAGTCGAGTATTATTATTACTGTACAATCAGTATTATTGATAGCAATTATGTTTGGCACATTTTGAAAATGTTTACGAATTCTATCCAATATCCTGATGCTTTTGAAAAGTGTTTTTATAAAAAGTCTTAATTGCAAATTTTAGCATTTGCAAGCAATGTGGGATATTCTTCTATTGGTGTACAAAAGTTCTGTTTTTTTTAAATCATTGTATATTTGAAGCACTGCACTTTTCTCTCTCTTTCAGGCCTGAATCTTTTTGCTTTCATCACCATTGTCTTCTCATACACCAGCATGTTTTATTCAGTGCGGAAAACTGGTGCCAAAACAGCAAGGCAAAGTGTCTTTAACCGGGAGGTGGCCATTGCCAAGCGATTCTTCTTCATTGTGTTCACTGATGCTTTATGCTGGATACCAATTTTTCTGCTCAAAATCCTCTCACTGTTACAAGTGGAAATTACAGGTAACATGTCCAGACAAAATAGTTCTGCTCTTTGTTTTGAATTTGTTCATTTGTTTAGCAAACTAAGTTTAAATTGACATTTAGTTATTGATTGATTTGTCAGAACACTAATTTTGTTGGCTTGGATTTCTGGTCTATTTTAAAGCTTTTTTGTGCCTGTTTATTCTGGATTTTACACATGGCATCAACAGTTTCAGAAGGGCTCTTATTGCATCTGATGTCTAGATTGATGGCTGTAATGTAAGGACACATGTATTGATCAATTGGTTTTCAAGTAAACCTCAATTCAGAACAGAAATGATAAAAATACTGTTAAGAAACTGATAGGTCACAAAAAAAGGAATTATATTCTTATGAACTTAGAAACACAATATCATTTAGAATTTTAGATATGTCATTTTTAAAAATTCAATATTACAAGTTAAAATTCAAGTATACAGCTTTGCTTTTAAGGTGAATTGCTATTTTATAAGACTCCTTTTGTCTTCTATTTCATTTCACACTTGTAGGTACAATAATCCTGTGGGTTGTGATTTTCATCTTGCCCATCAACAGTGCCCTAAACCCCATCCTCTACACCATCACGACTGCTTCATTCCAAGAACAACTGAAGCATTGCCTTGAGATGAAGTGGCAGAAGCTGGGAGTCAAAGAGACCCGTCACAGCATTTCCATGATCACCACTCACACGAATGCCCCATAGGTACAGCAAATGACTGGGATGACAAGTGCCGGATTGCAGGATGTGCTATCATATTTTTACACGAATGCTGATTCAAACCAGAGTGAGAATCCATGTTAAAAAATCAGTTCCCAAATCAACCAAAGAAATTGAATAAACCCAAGGTGTGTCAAACTGAACAGAAACATACAGTAGTGACATTGATTTCACCTGCCTGCCTCTCCCTACATTTTCTTTCCTTTAGCTTGGCAGCAGCAGATGGTCTTTATTCAGCTATAGTCAGAAAAGTATGACAAACTAATTATCAAAATGTAATTGGGCATACTGTACCATGACCTGTCTTACCCATCCTGCTCATATAAACAAATGCCCAAAAAACTAGTCTTTGAATCTTTGGAACAGTAAGGAAGGATTTTATTCCTTTGCTTCCTGTGCAAGAGGCTTAGATGTGAGCTTTGCTGTCCATGTTAATAAATATTAAGTCCCAGTAAGTCCTTCGCAGGCTTGGGGAGGACTGAAGAAAATTGATTCTCAAGAATTCCAGTCAGTATTTATGAGACTCCTCAGATGCCAACAGTGGAGGACTACATCAGTGTGTAGAATCACCTGAGGTAACTCTATCACTTAAATTTACAGTAGAAAATAATGGTTTGGTATGGTTTGGCCAGTTAGAAGATCCATTGTAAGCCTCTAAAGAGAATACAACATTGTGTAACGTTTGTCCTTTCCAATGTCATAATATATACAGTATAACTACAGGTGTAAATTGCATTTCAATTATTGTCAACTGCAAGCCACAACAGTTTTTACTAAAAGTCTATGCACTACTTTTCCATCGACAACTTGATGTGCTTTTTATCGTTTGAGTAACCCAAAGAGGAAATCAGCATCACTGTTTTATCATTATTTCTTGTATCAGGCTGAAAGTTAAATTAAAAACACGTTTGGGAGCTCAGCAAAACAACAATGGTTTATTAGCTGTATTTTTAAACAAATAAAAAATGTCAATACTAGCTACAAAATAATGTATTTCCAGATCCACTATGCTTTCCTTTGAAACCCAATACTTTTAATTTAGAGGTATGCTCAATATAGAATTAATAATGAGATATAAACAATACTGTAAGCCAATACACCACAATACCAGGAGAAAAGGTTAGATTCAATTCCTGTGGACCAAGATAACAGCAATAAATGAAACTAAAAAAAAAGAATAATAATTGTTTTTAAAAGCAAAGAGTTTTTTGGAAAACAATCCAATATTTCTGAAACACGTATATAGCCTTACAGTTTATTGCTACTTTATAAGGCTTTATTTCACCCCACCACCAGCCACACATACAGATATGCAGGATTTTACCTGACATTTCTAACAACTGAAAAAAAAAACAATGTGATAGTTTCAAGTGAAGTTAAAAGAAGTCCCAATTCTGAGCCAATTGGCTTTACATTTCACTAATAAATTTTGATATCCATCTGTTTAAAATACAACAGCATTAGTGACACTTGGTCAAAGTGTAGAAAAAGCCAAGATTTACATTCTGAGGAAATGCTCCATGGTATGTCAGAATGATGAAAATAATTGGAATTGACTTTTACTTGCAGTACAATTTGGCTTTAGTCATTTGAAACCTGCCACTATATTAACCCTGGGTTCTTGGCTTTGCCAATTTGAACCTGTTACATTGCTGCCCTCCATTGTAATATCAATTACTTACATGTTAGGGTCAGTTAATACAGTAAGTGCCTCATTTGTGTCTTTTGCTGCTTTCAATATTCGCTGTAACCTTGGTTAAATAAGAAGCTTTCCAGTTTTTATTATTTTAGCAACAATGTCAAGCTCATTTCAATTTTTTACATCAAAATAATTTGTACCTAAAAGCAGGGAGGAATGGTTGTGAGGCGTGAGGCAGTTGGCACTGCTACCTTACTGATCTTTGGTTCTGGGTTCAATTTCAGACTGGGGTCATGAATTTTTGAGAGGTGCTTGACCTATGAAAGACTGGTTTGTTAGGTTGATTAAGGTCTCTAAATTGTGTCTATGTGTGTGTGTGCCTTTTGACTGACTGGCATTCAGATAAGAGTGCAATCCCACTGTCTGGGATAGGCTTTGTTTACCATGTCCTTTACCAGGACTAAAAGCCTGCTAATAGTCTTTATGCTTTTAAGTACATCCATCCTTTCTATAGCAACATTCTTAACAGTGCATGCTCTTTCTGAACCCATTTTATACTGTTGTATGTAGAGGACAAATCAAATTTTCAACATTCTGTAATTGCTTAAGAGCTAAGACCTGAAACATAGTAAAGATCTGAAGCCTAAGCTATCAATCTATTGTAGAACAAATATACAGTATATGTAATAAAATGTTTTCTCTAAAGAAAAAAAAGATTACACGTAATGTGAATTTTAAATTAGAAGATTTAGTTATGGTGTAAGTTTTATAGTCTTTATTCACTAAAATTCACATTCTTTCTCCATGTCATTAGTCATCCTGATTTCTGTAGCTTTATTAGTCTACTGAGAACTATCCTGCATGAGTAATATCACAGACAATTATGTATGCCCTGTGCAAAAACAGTTGATTTACATACCATCAAGCAATATATACAGTATAAACATTATAAAACTACACAATTTCTTTCAAAGTATAAAGCAAGCTTGAAGCCTGCAATGCACAACTAAAGTTGTTACTGAGCTCTTGTGAACTGTACTATTACCAGTAGAGTTTCAATACAAAGACTAGCAAAAACATGTTTTAAAACTTATCCAGGAACATTTAGCATGCAAAATGTTGGGATGGTAAAAACTGGAAAGCAGAAAATTGGTCTGATGCAAAAAGAACGAAATATACAGCTTGATGCTATATATAGCACATCTAAACTGGCAGGTCAAGAAATTCAAAATATCCAGACCAAGTGGTTGAATGTACAGGTAAATATCTTCAATATATTCCCGAAATATAGTCAAACAAATGGAAAATATTTTAATTAAAAATATGAAAGGTAAATTGGTTATTCTTACCTCCAAATCTGCAATCTGAAGGCCTCATAAGTGATCCAAACAGGTGATCTTAAAGCCATTAAACAGGAGAGATGTTTTTTGAACTCTCAGCTACTGAGAACTTCAATAGCTGAAATAATCTTCATCTTTTGTGTTTTCTCTAATAGAAAGTTCTATACAGGTCACACAGATTTTTTAGTAATTTACAGGGATGTTTTATTCCTTAAAAAATAAGATAACACTATTTTCATTCCTTTCAACCTAGATTAAATTACTTCAGCTGTGGGTACTCATACAGTAGGTGCTCCCTAATTAATTGCCCCACTGATTCTGTTCTTGGTTGCTTAAGAAAACCTTTGTAATACAAACTTATACATTCATAGCAATTGCAATACAATATATGTTTTTGCTTTACGTATTAATGAGTACTGCAAAATATTCGCGAAAACACGATGATTCTACAGTATATCAGGTAGTGTGAAGAGGATATGGAGTCTTTAAAATCTGTTTACACATTAACTGTATTAAGAAAACATGTTTCATCCCATATGATTCCAAAGCGAGTTACATATACAGTATAGGATATTTCATCCACTACTTCAATTAAGGAGAGCTTTAATAGGAAGATTGCTGAAGCCCAGAGTGCAATTGTTGAGACATCAGTTAAGAGCCCTGCACTTTTGTGATAGCTTAATTACAAAATGAATAATTACACCTCCTATTTAAAAACATTTTTGTTTTCCATTCAGACAATGAAATTAGATTTGATTCTATATCACTAAACCAATAGCTTAAAATGTAGTGATGAAAAGAGTCCAATCACTTAGTGCGCTCTTTAACAGTTAGTGACAGTGTCCTTTTCTATGGTTAAAGATTATTTCTGTTAAATCTTGTGAAAACAAGTCTTATGTTACCTCTGTGAGGAACCTCGCACTACTAAATAAATAACTTGAAAATGTAAATAGCCTTGATGTATATTTGGACAATATATTTTTTTCAACAAAGAGGTGTAAGCTGTGCATTACATGTACAGTATACAGAGACTAATTTTGCTCTATCAATGCTATGAAATTTTCTGGTGTTATTTTAAAAATTAGCACTCTAGTTGCATTTCAGGATCATTTGTTGTAAAACTGTGCTGTGGATTGTAGTTGTTATATGCTATTTATAGTGCAACTTGATTATCATTTACTTACACTTTTGATTTTAGGTCAGAAAAGGCTTGAACATCACAAAAGGATGACATTTGGTGAATCACTGTATATTGTTATGTTATTCTATGATACATAATGAAAAGTATAATTAAATGTGAATTATGCATAATTATAATATGATGTAAAAATAGTTGTATACAAACTGTATATATATTCAAAAGGATACCTATACATTTTCAGGAAAACACTAATGCAAAATAAAAAGACATTTTTAAACAAGACAGTTTTTGCATAAAGTCTCTTCACAGACCATCAGTTTAACAACCACTGGTCACTATGGCTCTTGTTTGCATGGTGTTTGTAATAGCATACATAAATTGAGCTATTTCGTATTCCAATAAGTTCCATTCAATATACATGGCATTCATGGTGCATATAGGATATACCACATGTTTTACTTGGTTAAAAAAATTGAGACAAAAGAGAAAGACAAGACACCTTCCCTTTTCAAACATTTATTTTTTGCTGCATACAAAGCAATGCAATACATATTGGTAGTAAAAAAACTCATTTAGAACAGAAGACATAACATAAATAGTCAATTTAAATATCTGCAACAAAATACATCAACACTAGCCTTATCATTGGCAGTGTATTTAGTAACATGACTCTATATACTGTATGTAAAATGAATTGAAGCAGCAGACAATAAAAAAGGTTTTCAAAAAGGCAAAAAAATAAGTAAAGTATGTGTTAGTTTTATACAAGGAATGTAATACTGTCAGTTATAAGTACTGTCTTTATTTTAAATTAACATTGGACATATAGATATATTTTAGTTTACTTCATGAAATTAATAGCATTTATTTAAACAATTTGAAAGCATAGCTGCCATTTACAGTGAAGCAACATATGAAATAAGATTTCTTTTTACACTTGCAGATATAGGATATGACAGGACTTTTCACATCTCTGTAGAAATGAGGAACTCTGTAAGGGGACTTAACCAGGATACGTTCAAGTAGGTAGCTGCGTCAGCATGCGTAGGCTGCAAAGGAACAGGTAAAGGTTTATTCCATGCTGAAAAGAAAAGAGACACAATGTTTCAGCACAGGCTTAGAAAGATTGTGCCTCTTTTCTTTCCAGCATGGAATAAACCCTTTCCTAACCAGGATATGTCTAGTGTCCCAAGTAAAAAATGATTGGGCCAAAGAATCATTATCATCGTCTTCATTCTTTAAAACAAATGACAACTACTGCTCTTAATACACATTCTTTGAAACATTTCAGGGTTAAAGTGTTTTAAAAGCAAGAAGATGGCATTATAAATTATGGGATATATGAATACTTAATATCTCTTATTGTACAAAAGTTATATTTAATAAAGATACCTCAAGTTCATTTAAATGTTTTAATTAGATCAGATTTTATGTAATGAAACTAAAACTGAAGACAGATGAATGACATTATGTCATTAAAATGTTGATTGTGTAATTTATTTCTTTTAAAAAGACTGAATTTTCCATAATGTAGTAAGAGGCAGCTTTCGTGAAAAACATGGCCTAATATTAACTAACAATACCTTCCCCCACAACAAAAAAAAGAAAAAAAGGACTATCAGTTTAAATACAAGAAAAAGAAAATTGTGACCAAACTCAGCCACGATCTGACATTTTATATGCAGAGTATTTCCTCTTACACTTTCAAAATCACTATATTTTCTGATTCGAGTATATGGTTGGGGGGAGAACAAGTAATTTTAAGCACCGTTATACTGCTGCGGGTTCAATAAATTAATTGTTTCTAAATTATCTTATAGGTATCTTATTAATTTCACATGCGCTAAATCTGTGACAGCCGATATGCTAGACCAGAAAGTGTCTGTGATAATACTACCTAGAAGTCCTTAAAGAAGAGAAAACAAAGTCTCCTGTCTTTAAACAGCAGTCCTTCTGTCCTTTTTGTGCTGATGAATAAATAAATATCCTGTTCCCCACTGTAAATAGTGTCAAAGTCTTAGTCACATATAGAATATCAAGTATTCCACATGCCGTCATTAATTTTACAAACACATGTTCTTTCAGACATACAACTTATAGATGCATGTCCACATCAGTTAAGGACTTCTTCAATCACAGAGATCAAAGGTTCCATGTACTGTACATCAGTGTCGGCAAATAAAAGATACTCAGATTCATGGAAAAAAGATGAAGGTCTATCTATTTTATTCCCAAGATGAAATCCAAAGTGAAGCTTCCAAATAAACAGATGCTACATTAAAGCATCCTTTTGGCAAAGATAACTTTAAAAGTTTCATTCCATAAAAAGATTAAAAAGACAGACTGAAGTAAATCATTATATTTCAGGTTTCATGAAGTAACATTTTGTGATAATCAGCTTAAAGTCCCCAAAGAAAAGCTACTGTTTTTTTTTGTTAAAATTGAACTTAATGAACGGATTCTGATAATATACATTTTGGTTTACAGGGCTTTCTGCAAATTCACTGGCAAAAGGTTCAGAAAACAATGAGGGTGACATGGTGTAACCGAGTAACTTTGGGTTTAGGGCACATCAGGACTTATAAAATACGGGAAATAAAATCACTGACAAAACACAATAGTATCCTTGCCAAATTTTTAAACAAGAAATTCACATTTAATTTATAATCGGAGTTGGTTTCTCTCACTGTTCTACAGTACATCATTCATTTAATAAAAAAAGTACAGAATAACGATGGCAAACAGTTAAAACAACCAAAATATGGACTATTTAATTAAAAAGGTGCCTTTACAGAATATTACTCTTTTTTACAATTATAAAATATATATATTATTTAATATTACATACTTAGTGTGCAGTGCAGTCAACATGAAAGAAGATCTGTATAATATTTCTGTAGCAAAGGGACAAAGTTGGGTAGCTAGTTAAAGATCTAGAAATTATATATAAAACATTAAACATTTATTTTGATACAAGATAAAAAATACATGAATATTCTGAAAATATGCTACTTCCACTGTCTGTAAGACAGATAAAGACACAGCAGCAAAGATGAATACATTAGATTATATTAATGCTGTAGTTTACAGAAAAGAGAATAACCAATCCAAAAATTGTAAGTTGCAAACAACTAACTAAAAGACATCAATAAAACCTATGCCTTGCATCAATTTATAAACTTACATGAGGAATAGATTTTTTCTAAATTGGGTGTACAGTACAGTATATATGTATATTTTATCCAAAGATGTCTCATTTCCAATATAAGAGAGGTGTGCAACACACAGTGTTTTGTTAGTTGCTTGCATTATCGTTTAATTGTAAAAATTGTATATACTGTATGCATTGTTCTTAATATTACTCCAAAAGTGAGGTAAAAAATCACATTTTTTAAAAATTCCATGAGTTAATCGATAATATCCTCTTTGTTTCTGCTGTATGACCAAATTATCATCCTCGGAATCTAAAATAACACCAAGGTGATTATCAGTGTGGTGTTTTCCCATGGGGCATGGATGTATTTTAAAATACTAAAGTTGTTTGAGGGGGTATACAGAAATCAGACTAACAGCAGCTTTACATATGCATAATGGTTAAATATTCACATTGCCCAATGTTAACACTTATGGTATTCGATCGAAACAAAGCTGCATTTCTTTCTAGTAAAATACCACACTCTGCATCAGAGTAAGAGTTTCACAAAAAAAAATCCAGTTCTGGGATTCTTATCTTCAGATTTAAGAATCTTCATGTCACTCTACAGCTTTGTTTCAGGTCCTCTGGCAGTTAATACAGGGAAGGAGTCTCGTATCTTAGCAACCTCCACGGCGCAGAGATGCCCAAACACTTTATTATACCAGTCAGGAGAGCGGCCCCTGAAAACACCAGGAACAATTATTGATTCACTTAATTCTGCCTTCTTAAAACTTTGCTAAAAATGTATAATATTTGTCTTATATGTTGTGTGCACTTGATTATATGTTTAATTATAATATTTAAGACAAAAACCTTGAAAACAAGAACGTATTTAATTCACCTTCATACTGTATGTTTTTCACTTTGGAGTCAAGGTTTTTGGCTCAAATGTTTTGTAGTTAAAGCAGTTTAAATCTCCTGCTTGGCTTCCCATGTCTGGTCCTTGAGGCCAGCAGCCTGATCTCAGATCTCCTTAAATCATCAACAGCTAAGGGGTTATTTGCTCAAGCAAGGCTTTAACCTTTATCCCCATGTCTGACGTTACTGATAATTTAAGGACACCTATAAAACATGCAGGACTACTGCCTTCAGGGATATTATTGAGAATTGGTTCTGGTTTAAAAAAGACATCACAGAAAACTTCAATACTGCACAAAAACATGGCACTATCAACTGGCTCTCTTCCCTATGTAAATCTATATATTTAATAACTAGGTTTAAGTGCACAAACTAGAAATATTTATACATCTTTTGCTGCAACCTACGAATACACAACAAGATCTTCTCATGCTGGGACATGACAGGCTGCCTGACTAAAACAGTTGGATGCTCTATTGCCTGGCTCACCTTAGGTCAGCTCTGCAGATGTGCATCAGTCTGGAGCGGCCCCCGCCACAGGGCTCAATGAGGTACTGTGAAGTGAGCAGCACTGCCCGCAGACGCCCTTCCAGTTGCACCTTGTCATGCTCAACCGACGAGGACACCAGCACACAGGCCCCCTTTGGCAGATCACTACACCACTTCCTGAGAACACACACCGACAGCTCTGTTCAGACCTTATTGTACCTTCTGTATTCCCCAAAACAAAACACACAGGTCTCAACAACAAAATCGAGTTAAGCATTAAACTATACAGTATACACATAGAGCCAAACTGAACTTATATATATTTCAGAAAGGTTTTGTGGGCAGCACGATAGTGCAGTGGGAGTTGGTATGTTCTCATATCAATGTTCCCGTTCCCGTGTTCACGTGGGTTTTCTCTCTCACTCACGTGGGTTTGAGTGTGTGCATGTCTGTGTTTGCCCTGTGATGGAGTGGCGTTATGTCCAGGGTGTACCCTGCCTTGTGCCCTTTGTTTGCCAAGCTCTTGCTCCCCCACAGCTCTGGATTGGAAGAAGCATTTAAAAGTGGATGGATGGAAATGCTGGGTCTGAACAAAGCTATAGCTTTTTCAGCAGATGTAAGGAAGTCAAATCTCCAGTCTCTTTTTAACATCACTCTGCACTAGATCTGAGGGTGTTTTGTAACTTTAAATATTTTAGACATATGTTTTGAATTCGAGGACTACCTGTTATGACTAAGAAGGGAAAGTCATTTCATTAACCCTCAACAAAAGCGTTCTTGTTCTATCCTAATAAAGGGTCATTGAGGCTGTCACAATCCAGATACAGTACAAAGGGTAAAAAAAAAAGATTAGATCTCAGTTAAAGACTGAGCTCCATAAAAAGCAACTCCCTTAATCCAGTCACATGTTAATGAGCTTTAAAATCAAAATTAAACAACATCTATAAAAACAGTCAAGGTCACTACCAAGAAAAAAAGAGTGTCTATATGGGTGTAAATGAATAACAGCTCTTACATAAATGAATCGTCACCTTCCCATATGTAACAGCTGAATAATTTAGAACCAGTAAAAGCCGTAGGAAATACATTTTTTAGGTAAATTACCAGCCAGTTTAGGCTGTGGTGCTACTCATGTATACAGTAATAGGACTGTGCAGTTCTTCTACCTGAGCACAAGGAAATCTCTTCTGGGGTGTGGTGCCATACTGTCCGTCACATAATGAAAGATCTCTGTATTTTTGTCTAGGGCCTCAATCACTCTGCCATGCAGCAAATCATCATCCCACAGGTGCCTTTCTCTTAGCACTCTGTGCAGCACTGTCACAGGTGGGGCTTCAATTTCGGTCGAGGCCTTCCAGAGACGAAGGGGATGCCCATCACCCACCTGCAAATGCAAGAGACAAGGCAAATTGCATTAGTTTGTAATGAAAAGGCACATCGTGTCCTTGTTTTACAGAAATTACAAATAAAGAGGAAATATACAAATGAACATTTTGTTTTAACCATCCTAAATTCTGCAGAAATCTGAAACCTACATTTTCTTCTGTACATAAAGCCTGAACAAGAGCTGTCAGTGCTGAGAACTGCTTCAAGTAAAAAAATGTATAATGTGGCTAAAGCGTAATTGAGACCATGTACAATAAAAAAGACCACCCTCTGCAAAGTGAATGATCAGGATTATAGGACTTTATTTGAAGTAACCTGTTCCATGGGGTCTTTCTTTTTAAAAAGAATAATTTATTATCCTTTTTCCTGTTTTCTCTGAAGCTCCGGAAGCCATGTAAAGTGTTAGAAGACACCAACAAACAATAGACATCAGTGAACTAAGACAGCACTTTTCAACCAATTCCAACACGTAAAAGCCAAAGAAACTAAATGTAATTCAATAAAATTGTAAGACAGGCAACACTGATACAATGCCCATATGATGAGTTCTAATAACAATGTTCCAAAACTCATATGATTTTAGGAGAATGTCACAAAATATTTAATCCCTATTTTGGATGCATGTACTTTCAGAAATACAGTCAATATGGTGCACATTTTTAAGATTAATTTGAGAAAACTGTCAGTTTTCACATATCTAAAATCCTGAATTAGGTCACCACAATTTCAAGATCCAAAACTGGCAAGCAACTAGAGAATTTTTTGCCTTTTCAAAACGTGCCAGTTGTAGCAGACGTGCACAAGAAAATGTAACTTGTGTCCTACTTTTTCAATGTAAATTCTTTCCTTGTAAGGATGAAAATGTACCAAAAACATATAGAACCCATAACATCAATTCTTAATGTCTATATCCATCATTTAGGGTTGGTTAGTGTTACATGTTAAGCACTATATCAAATGTTTTATTACCTTATGTTTATTGTACTGTTTACCAAATAATTAGAATAGGGCCTCAACACTCATGAGCTGAGCAGTTATATCCATCCATCCATCTATTTTCTACATACTTCATCTTATTCAGGGTCACAGGGGAGCTGGAGCCTATCCCCTCAAGCAACTGGTACAAGACAGGATACACTCTGGACAGGACATCAGTCCATCACAGGGCACACACAGACACACACACTAATACAAGTTTTATTTATTATAAAACAAGCATGTTTTTGGATTATAGGAGCTTTATTTGGTTGCAACCAAGTCAATAGTAAATTGTCCAGATACAAATAACATATCCTTGTTTATTTCTTTAAAATTTCCAAATGTGGAAACTTCTTCAACACTTTCACTTGTAGTTGATTGAAATCATCAATTATATGAATCTCCCATACAAAAATCAGTTAAAACTGTGCTAAAAGTCAAACCCATGCAAATAAGGTCTTTGTAGTGCACTTAATGTACTATAATGCAGAGTAAAAAAACAACAGATACAGTATGAACCTTTTTGTATGACAGTTCGGTGTTCTCAGGACCAGGGGTGTTCTGCCAGCCTCTAATTTTCTCCGCTGACTCTCTTAACAGGCTTTTGATACTCTCGTCCAAGTAGGCCTGATAATACCCAGGCTCTCTGTTCAGGGTAACACCAAGCTCCTCCAAAGGAAGTGGCTGTGCATCAGCAGCCACGTAGGAATTCCGGGATTGCAACATCATATCGTGAGGAATCTTTTTTAGAAAAAAAGAACTGGTAAATATAACGTTAAAAACCAAATACATGTTTTACTCTATTGAGGTATGTCTGCTAAGATTTTAATGTTTTAAATAAAGTTGAATGAAAATGTGGTAAATTCTTATTAAATGTTTTGTTTTAAAATAATTTGTCCTGCTTCCTCATGTTATTATTGTGGAAAATGGTGTCTCTGATGGTTCTTTGTAAAAACAGAGATCCCATAACCACTATTTAAACAATTATAGTATAGTTAAGTGTTAAATACAAGTTTAAACACTTATTTATAACATAAACAAAGGAAAACAATACTACAAGGTTCAGGTTTGCCAACTGTTTGGTCCAGGTCAGTTAATCCTGAGCCATTACTAGCTACATCAAGACTATGATCTACCTGAAAGAGCTTCTTGCACTCCATGATCATGTGACTGAGTCCCTGGGTAGCTGCCATGTTCTCGTTTAGGTCCTTTTGATCAGGTTTGCCAACTGTCCCCTTCCTGTGTATCAATCTGTCAGAAAACAAGCAGGTCCAGTTTTCAAGTTTCAAATGCAATTTATGTTTGACCACCTGAATACTAGAACTGAATGAATCTTAAATTGATAACCTGCAATGCGAAGAGAAGCACAAGAACCTACAATGCCCTCTACATTTAAAGGCCCCAACAAAATAGGAACAAAAAACATCACATGGCAAATAGTTATGGATTGGATTTAGGATTTTCTTTAATTTTCTGAGCAAGAAGTGTTATTCAATCGGTAAATACCGTATACAGTTATTTGATGTTTATTGTTCTTATTTCATCAGAAAATTCAATACATTTGTATTTGTCATTCTAAAATGTGTGCTCACACCCACATAATCAACACACAATACTGAACATATAATACAAATATATAGTTTATAATTGTTTTTTTAGGAAACAAACCATTAAAGAGGCATATTCAGCTTTGATTGATTCTACTGATAAAAACTCCTGTAACACACTTACATTTTATGAGTCTATTCCAAAATTGGAATTAATTGAGTTTTTCTTCTTCTTTTACCAAACCATATACCATTACTTCTGGAATTCCACATCTACATTACAAACTAGGCTTTGCTTCACCACTTTTAACACTTTCAGTAATCTCAACTTTTCTTTGATTGTACAGTATATATATTTTTTCTTTTAGTGATCATTTCTACAGCTCAGTTAACTTTCTAATAAATGGCCAGCTCTGAGTAAAAAGAATTTGGAAGGGATTCCTGTTCTGGCCAACTCATTTTCAATTCAATGTGTGCTTTACCCTTCTAAGAGTGGTTTGAAAGTTGAGCAGATAATGCAGTTTTACTTTGTGTTTAGGAGAGTACCACAAGAATGCATACGTACAATGTGAAATAAGTATCATTTCTTGTCCCAGCATGTGTCGCCAAAGTATTTGACAGTTAATTATGATTCAGTTGTATTCTTGTCTAATGACCTATCATAATTAAATTATTTTCATTATGTAACTGATATTCGATCTGAAAAATGTGTCCTGTCTGTGCCGGATGGCCTCTGCCAAGTGCTAATATCAGATACAGAATTCAGAAATTCTATAAAGAATCATTTTTTAATCAGAGAACCTGCCAAAAGAAAAAAACCACAAACCCTGTGTATCTGTGCGTACATTGAGCACTTAAAAGTTGGAATCTGTATTTATCGAAAATATATCTGACAACATCATGTGAAAAAATGTAAAAAACATTAACAACATTTTCTCCTTAAGAACAGTATGAAGCCTTCAGACTAAATTTTAAGACGTGAAACAGTGGTACTGCTTGAAAGTTATTCAACAGAGCTCAAAGAAAAGCTTGAAAAGGCACTATCATTAACGCAGTCATCTTCTTTAAAACTTAATTTGGGAACACACATCACTTGATTGATGGGCTTACACTTGACAAAGCTAGAGAATCTATCAACATATTGACCCTCATCATTGAAGACTACAGAGTTTGCCCTCTATTCCAAAGCAATAAAACATTCAGTATCTGCCTTGGGAGATATGATAATAATCATGGTACATCTGTAACTGTGCTGAAATGAAATTCAGTATATTGAGTTTGCACTTTAACAGCAACCTCTTATTGATGCATGTATCTCTGTCATATACTGTATAACCCTCCATGAGAATATATTTATATGGTAATGCCCTGAATATTATATCAATGTTGTTATTATGACAATTACGTCATTAGTGACAATTAATCTAATTATTCTAGAACAGTGATTTTTAATCCTCTGATAAAGCTTATATTAAATAACATCACATTCACTTGGTTCAATGTTTGTTCACACTAAATAAATGCTATGTATTTAAGAGTCTTTTTGGAACAAGAAACATAAAGATACAGTCGTTGAAAGAGAACATCCCTATCTCCACCATTATAAAAGACAAATTTGTTGAAGTCCACTCCCATTCAAAGATAGGTCCCTCCAGTCACTAATACCATACACACTTTATAACTGCTCAAGGAAGACTGAATACCGTAAGAATGCTTAAGACTACAGTTTTGTTATTGATTTTAATGCTAGTGTAGACATTAATTATGGCACTTATAAGCAACATATCTATTCTGAAATTTTCCCAAAAGAAAAATAACATTTACAAAATCAACTAATTTATATATGAATATACAGTGAATGTATATGAGCCAGTAGATAGGGTATTACAAAGACTACTGTTCTGATTTTGTAACACTGAATAATAATAATAATTTACATTATTACTGAGCACCCTCTACCACCAGTGTGCAGCACCCACCTGGATGATGCAGCAGCAGTCACAGTGTACACAGTACACTCAACACACACCAGCTATCAGTGAGTAGGTGAACAGAGCAATGAAGCAAGTTCATAAATGGGGATTATTAGGAGGCCATGACTGGTAAATGCCAACGGGAAACTTGGACAGGCTGCCAGGTTAACAACCCTACTCTTTTCTAGGCCTTGGGATTTTTTTAATAACCACAGACATCAGGTTCTCGGTTTTATGTCTCATCTCAAGCACAGCATCTTTTTACAGTATAGTGTCCCTGTCATTATACTGGGGCATTGTGACCCTGACAGACTGCAGGGTAAGTGACCCCTAATACCTCTTCCACCAGCAACCTTATCTTTCCCAGGAGGTCTCCCATCCAGGTTCTGGACAGGCTCACACCTGCTTAGACTCAGTGGGTTGCCAGTTGTGAATTGCAGGGTGATATAGCTTTTGGTATCATTTCTACTGAAAGGAATGTAAAACGAAGTAGCACAGAGCTGATTTCTATTACCTTGGAATTCAGTAAAAGATGAGTAAATCTTACGTTAGACAGCTAAGCCAATCAAAAAACAAAATGTTCTTATAACAAGAGCAAACAATTCAGTGTGAAAGACATGTCTATTCATAAAATTGAACAGCATTTTGACAAGGCTGCCAACAGCAGCTTTCCCTATTTTTGTGAAAGGGTACATTTAACAGGTCAGGAGAAATAAATCTCTATAAGAACAAGACATTTTGCTTCAAAATTCCAGGGTTCACTGGTTATGACAGCCTGACAAGCTGTGTGAATAAAGACACTAGAGACACTGTAGTTCCCCTGATTCTGAGTATCACAAGAGAAATGTTTGAGAAAATGGCAAGGACTATCTAATGTGATGCTGAAGACAAGACTGTACAGATACTATAACTGAAATACCATTAATAGAGGGTGGAAAAGAACAATTTTTCTCAACCAGCCTTCAAAACCTAAAAGGTTAGGATTAATAATCAGAAAATTTTCTGATTATAGATTTACAGTAAAAAAAATGTATTGCTTTTACATAACCTTTTTTCCCAACTGAGAGAGTAGCTAATTGAAAATTACAAGCAATAATGAAGAATGAAGGAAGAAACAGTGGACTTTTTTGTTCCAGACATCTGCTTTTTTCAGAGACAGCAGTCACCTGTACCTTGTGAACAAACGTTGCTTTTATTTAAACTAATATCTGAATTTTCTTTTGATTAAATACTATAATAATTTGAGTTCTTCATTAACCACACCCCATTTTGAAACATTTACCCATTTTTGGAAAAAAAATCAGAATTTCAACACCCCTATTTACTACTAATCTACAGCATAAGATTTTAAAGAAGTATTAGAAGTAAGAATAGTATTAATAACTCATTTGTGGCAGAAAGGGTTCACATATTTATCTCAATTGTGCATTCTCTGTGAAGTATCAGTACAGTTCATTCTAAATGATATTACAACCTAAGGTCTGAATCAGACTGTATTAGAAATAATATCTGCAGCTGTGAAGTTCTTTATTGGAGACACACTCCCTGTCAGATCCCAGAGTTTCCCCCTAAAGACAAGAAACTAACATAAATAAATGAAACCCAAAGGCCGGCAAACTACTGTTGGCTACTAGGATTGTATGTAGATCAACTAAAAGGTCTAATTGTCCCCACTGCCACCGCAGTGGACTTCCTTTGCAGAGTTGCTGGGACTGCAAGTTTCAGCGTCAAGACAATGTCAAAGAGAAATGTTAGTACCTGGGGGAGGTGCCCTCCTTTTTGGAGACATTGAGATGGAAGATGGAGGGGGCCAGGCATACAGCCAGGTTGCCTGCAGTCATCTGGTTATCCTGGGCGGAGGCAATATCGCTCAGGAAGTAGAGCAAGGTCTGCAGCACTTCCCGGTTCTCATCCGGCAGCAGGATGACCGCCGCCTGTGCTGCCTGCAGACGCTGATCCTTTGGGACACCTGAAACAAAATGGGAGTGAACTCGACTGGATCGAGAGAGAAAGGACAAGCGAGGCTGGCCAAGAATATAATTAGCTTCAGAGCAAAAAGGATGTGCACTGTAACAGCCTGACGGTAGACGTACCCTTTTTTTACAAAGTAAAGTCCACTACATTTGGACTTCTCTCTACCTCGTGATAAAACTGTCTTGGGCTTTCTTCTGAAAGAAGAACTGCCTCTCTCTTTAATGTTCTTTTTCAAGCCTGAAAGGCTCTCATTGGTAGTACAATGCAGCCTGCCCATGACTGTGATGTGGCAGAAAGGACAGGATTCAGGTTATTTCATAAAAATGCAAATTCAGCCTATGTTTCTTATAGATTTCTTGTTTTACTTCACTTGTTGAAGAGCAGAGTAGATTTAGAATAAGAAATAGATGGCAAAACAGAAAGCACAAAACTCTTTAATAAAGAATAAGCAGAAAAAAATCCAAAAAGAACAGGGAAAACAATTATAGTACGTCACTTCTGTTTCAGCTTGATTAACGACTTTTTAAGGCACAGATCAAAAACAAAAGAATGCCGGTGCAGCAGGTTGTGGCTTCCTGCTCTCTTATTCTCATACTCACATTGGTAGATCTGCAGGAATGTGTCCGTCAGCTTGCCAGTAAAGACGGGCTCTGGAAGATCCCTGAAATACTGTTTCAACATGTCAGCTACATCATAGGCCGACTGTCCCTCATAGCTCACGTGATCAGGGGAATTCTCATTGAGCTGCCTCAGCATCTGGATCCGAGACTTCACTCCTGATTTACGGAAAATACCAACCTATAGCAAAGGAAAGTTTTTTAAAAAGGCATGTAACTGTTTCCAAGCAAAATAATCCTAATGTCAGTAAAAAAAGAATTTCAAAATGACAAGAATGAATCTGTACATTACAGTAAGCTTAATAACACCTTTTTAGAATAATGTCCTTCTGTCATATTTTTGAAAATCAAAGCAGGCTATAGTAAAGAAAAATTGCCCTACCTGGTCTAGACACCGACTCCGGATGTATCTCATTGCTTGCTGGATGCTCTGTGGAAGAGGTTGCCCACTTCTCTGTACGTTGATAATGGGGGGGACACCAAAGACATTCTTGTCCCTGTAGTCAGGAACTTTGCTTCTTTTCATGAACTTTGGCACCGTCCTACAATCATGAAAAGAGCACAAATTTAGGTCAACAAACATGCACTGTCAAATCTATGCAGCATGGGTAAGCAATATTTAATGCCCAGATGACTTGTTAACAGTTTGCACAAAAAAATATATTGTACTTTGGGTTAATAGGGTAACTCTGTAAGAGTACATTCAACGAAATGATAAAAGACTCTACTTTAAGTGGTCATCAGAAACAGTAAGAAACACTGATTCATTTGAAAGTGAGTCACAGGTGCTGGGACATTCATGATATTATACACATGCCCAAATGAAAACATGCATTCACTCATGTACTAAAACAAGTTAGTTTTGACAAATTTGACAGCCATATTAAATGGAATTATAAACAAATTTTTCAATATTTTAGCTAATTAAGATAAACAGTAATTTAAATGTTAACCACAGATGCAATGGGTGATCTTGGCAGTCTTTTGTGTTTTTTTCTCCTCTTCCCAAGTATGCATTATACATAGTATTTAAAGGAAAAGCTTGCAGTTATAATTTAGTTTCCACTGAGCATAATACTAACCAGCTCCAGCCCTGCTTGTTGGGCACTGAGTATTTTTCCATCATGGCGGTCAGTCTCAGTAGTGAGAACTTCTGCAGCAGGTTCAGTTGGGTTGCTGATTGCCGGTTTATCTCCAGAGATGCTGAGTTAAGGCTTGGCCTGTGAGAGTTCTGGAAGCTGTGCCACCGTAGTTTCCTAAAACAACAAGGTCATATTTACGTAATTTTATATCTTATATGTTTTCTGACATGACAACATACATTTTCTCATTTCCCCATAGTTCTAAGTCACAGCAAACTACCAATTGGTACAGTATTTTCAAACCAAGTTATACTGATAAAACTCCCTCAACAAAGTAGATTTGTTCAGGAAAGCAGACTTTGAGGAGTTCAAGTTTACAGAATGCATTTGAAATGTAAATGGTAACTCCAGAAATCTGCATTTAAAATAAAACACAACACAAACAATGTAGCAGGAACCAAAGAATTGCTGGCACATTACAATTTCTACTTTGTAGAATTACAAAGTACACACAAAGTTACAGTAACCTCAAACTTATCAAACACAAAAGTAAAAGTATCAGTAATACTGTATCAGTATTATCTTCTTAATTACATTAACTTGTTATTACATCAAATTACTTTCAATGCCATATTATTAAGTAACTGCATTCTTATACCAAGCTTATTCTTTAAAAGTAATTTTCTGAAATAAAATACACTTTCTGACCTGTTTGGCCTAGTTAAAGATGCGCCCACACCAGAATCTCTCCGATCCCTCATTTCCATCTCTTCTGCTTCATTTAATGAATTCCCTGTACTGTCAAGGTCACTTGCTGCAGTTCCCACATCTGACATGGACTGCTCTTCAAAATGGAGACTAGAGGGGTAAACGTTTTCCTCTGTTAGCTCAGAGTCAACATCCTCAAGTTCTGGACAGATTCTCTTTGACCAGAATTCTACATTCTGCTGTAGCCCATGGACATGCTGAATAATATCATCCAAGTGCTCAAAAACATCCACCCTTCCCATATTAAAAATTTGTTCAGAGCTGCCAAGCACCTCTGGTACATTGTCATAGACACTCCCTGTAGAACTACAAGAATTCCTCCTTGCATGAAATCTTCCGAAGCCTTGAGACTCATTGCTGCTACAGACTGAAATATCAATTGACATATTGCCTGAGGCCCAGCTGCAAAGATTATCATTTGGAGTTGGACATAAACTCTCAATGGAGAGAGATTTGGGGAAAGTTCCTGGTTTATGGTCTCTGGGAAGATGCACAAATGAATTCTCCAGCACATGTTTGTGTTCTGTTTGGCTGGGATTCTTCAAACTTATCTCATAGTCCTCTAAGTAAAGTCCACTACATTTGGACCTCTGTTTCTGTTTCCCTCTACCTCCTGATGAAGAAAGATCAACTGCAGTCCTACAAATTGTCTTTGTCCTTCTTTTGAAAGAAGAACTGCCTCTCTCTTTAATGTTCTGTTTCAAGCCTGGAAGGCTGTCGTTGGTAGTACAATGCAAGCTCACAGGAGGTTGTAGAAGTCCGTTTTGGCTAGTCACACTTTGGATGGCAGAGTCCTTTCCATTATCAATTTCTCTTTCTTTATCCTTTCGCCTGAAAGATTCAATTTTCCTCAGGAAGCTCTTGGACCGCTTTTTTGGTTTCTCTTTTGATGTAAGGAGATCTTTAGAAGAGCAGGACTCTGTCAAACTGTGACTGGAGAGTGCAGTCGAGTCGGAACTGCGAGAGGTAAAACTGGGAAATGGCTCCGCTATGGAAATCTGACAAGGAGTTGTTCCTTTTGTGCTCCCCATGCTGCAACTGCTGTGGCTGTGAATGGAAGTGGCTTCGAGGTCACTAAAGTCACTCAGGACACTCTCCCGACTGGCTGAGGTCTTCATGGTGGTCTGAAGAACCTCGGTGCTATGAGGTGTGGGAGCAGAAAGGGAGCCCAACCTAGACCATCTTTTGCTATCCCGTTGGAATGCCCAACGGTCACTGATGGCACACAAGTCCTCCTCCTCTGAGTCTTCACTCTAAACAGAACAAAACTGTGATTTAACAGCAAGCAGATCTTATCAGTCCTGCAAAGCTTTTAAATAGAAAGAATGCCTTTATGTCCCATTTTAACTTTAATATGAGACACAACAAAAAGTATTCAAACAGTTTCTACATCTTTTAACATCAAAGTGCTTGGCAGATTCAATTAAATCATTACAGACAAAAATACTCTGTACTTAGAAGTCACAGTGATGTTAACAAATTCACATGATTTTTGGAAAAAAAATGACAAAGCTGAGAATTGAAAAGAACAGCTGCAGAGTGTTGATTCTACAGTTGTATCACAGAATAACGGTAACTTAAATGGGAAAGCTTTCAAATACTTTTACTTACACAAAGGACTGTCAATGATTTATGAAGCTGCTTTTGTTCTCGGTTGTGCCTACCTGCTTACGTTGAAAGTGGACCTCCAGCTTCATAGACGCACACTTGTTTAGGGTTGTCAGTCTCCTAAGAGGGAAATAACAAAGCCAAAAATAAAATCAACCAACCTTTTAACCCAAAACTGCTAACACTCAGATAGGATACACACATGACTGCTGAAAGGAGAAGCCTACCCCAGGTACTGTACTTGTAAGTCTCAGCTGTCAATACAAAGCAGTTTGCTGAAAAGCAACAGTGTCAACAAGCCTTTAGGCAAACAGGACTCGGAGGATGTAAATCCTTTATAAATTAATAGAGTTTTTGGATAAGACCAAACCAGCAAATTCTTTAACTCAAAGCCATAAGACTCCACAACGTTTTATTTACTTTTTTTAAGAGAATTAGATTTAAGGTTATCTTAGAAGAGCAAAACAGTTAATCACAAACACACGCAACAATATGGTTTCTCAATTATTCTTTCATTTAATAGTGAAGATTCTATTTAGATCACAAAGTTTCACAGAATATTGTAGAGAGAGAGCACTGTTTTCCCGATTATACACATTCACAAGGTTTAAATCTTTCTGGCTTTTAATTCAGGCGTGAATGGTTTACATTTTAAAGTTCAAGTTATTTTTGGAATATTCCACAAAAGCAAGACTTATCAGCAATTGGAAGCACTTTTGTCTGTCACTAAGCTGCTGGTGTTGAGGTGAAAGTAAGGAGGTACAGTACCTACAGTACACAAGCAGTAATTTAACAAAATGTGATCACTGATAAAACATTGGCATTCACATAATAATGCAATCCACTAGAATATACTAAATTATGGAGTAGTACATAATAGATTAAAATGTCTCACACTGAAAATTGTTTTCCGTTAGTATCTGTTTAAAGTGTAGAACATTAAAGCCATTGTTCTAGAAATACTGGACAAGAAGGGGAAAAACTGACAAACCCAACTGATATTAACAATGAAAGATAGTATTTTCTCAATTAGTCTCTCTAATATAAAAAAATAAAGCTCACATTAGTTTGCAATAGGGTAAAATAAAATCATTAGAGATTTCAAGCCTCTAGAAATTGAAGTGTTGATTTAATTTGTGCAACACTGAGGCATATGAATATCTATTTAATTTGGTACAAAATATTTTCTTCCATAGCATGTCAAATTGACCCAAATTATTTTCAAAGTTACTGACCCATGTAATACAAGCAGAATTAACAAACTCTGCCTACCTGTCCATTTTATCTGACTAATATAGACACTTTATTTGGAATAAAACTGTTCATGTTACTAGGATTAAAGCATTTACTGACATGTAAAACATTACTGAGAAAACAAATGAACTGCCCCGTGGGTATGACAGAATACAAAATCTACTGGACACTTGGTTTCTTCTTCAGGGAGTTATGTCTAACTTTATTTGAATATGAAAGGCCTATCACATCCATAGGCCATAAAAATCACGTTTGAAGAACATTTTGCACAACTAATTTATGAAGCACTCAGCCTCTAATCAATGTGTACTACTCATAGCCCTCAAAGAGCAGTGATAGGGCTAAGAGCAGAGTGAACCTTTAACTGACAAGTCACCTTAAGCACTTTAAAAAATGAGCACAATGGTAAAAGAAATACATGTATTTTTATGAAAAATCTTATTTCACAAATTAGAAACAGCTGTTGTGATTAAGTTAAAAAATTGAACAGCAATGAGGAAAATATCTTCCACAAAATAAATGGATATTCAACACAAATATTTGTTAAAAAAATAATGATTTAGGCCTTTGTTATAAACCCTGGTACCTGATATTGCTTTGTTGCTTCCCAGAGAGCATTTTTTTTCTTCCAACGGAAAACCACCCTTATGCACAGTCCCAGGCCTCAATTTATGTGTAAACAACACTTCCCATGCAGAGAACAAAGTGATTTCTTTTTGAGAGACTTTCTTTTGAGATTGTAACAATGCAGTAAAGCAACAGAACAAGCAATTATTGAAGAACTCTCATGTCTATGTACTTACTAGCAATGAACAGTCATATACTTTCTTGTTGTATATAAAATAGGATTTCTGGGCTGCTTGTAAATTCTGAAGCACTGCAGGTATTAAACTCTAAAATCCAGAGAAAATGCTATGAATGATGAGGAAACTGACAGCTTTGCTTACCTGCAAAGGGATTTCAGCGAATCCCGGTCAAGAAAATCATGATCTTTCTTCACAGAAGCAATATCAATCGGAAACTGTGAGTCTGAAATGTAAGAATGACAAGTGTCACATCACAGAACAAGTTTACTTTTTATATTTACAGATATACTGTACAATAGAGACAGAAGCTTGAGAAAAAGAGATTTCACTGTTAAAATCAAGCAAATAAATACTGTGCTTCCAACTTAATTTTCAACATATAGAGTTAGAGTGAATATATTCAGGATTTAAGACAGTTGTGCATTAATATTTCTTATTAAGCTGTAAAAAAACATAGTTCAAACAGACTGCATATCAATGAATTGCCACTAATCCATAACTTTTATCAGTCTCTCCAACTAAACTGTGTAATGATTCCTGCTGTGCCACTGATGGGGGATGGGCTTCTGGTCTTTACTGCAGCTTGATTTACTTAGCAATCCCAGGCAAGACCTCATGAAATTGCTAGGCACCTTCACAATGACCTCAACAAGCAGTATTTTATGGTAAAAACATAAGACCAGCATTAATCTCTTAATGAAAGAAAAAAAAAACGAATGACAAATGTTTTGTTTTATCGCAATGTTCTAAAATTAGCCAGTTACTTTTTGATTACTCAATGAGTCCTTTGGAGAATTAAAAAATGAACTGCTAGATTGACAACCTGTCATAACATTCTCACTTGTCCATGAATTTATATTAATGCTGTAACCATAGATGTCAGAGTAGTCTAGTAAAGCAATTGAAGCCGAGTATATACCTATTTTCTATGTAATAAACATGAAAAACCATCACACTGCAATTTATGTCAGGAAAATCCGACTATTCTCATACTAATACTTCATTCACCCTTCCAACTACATAAGACACCTCTTTAAACATATATTCTATAGCATATTTGACCTACCTACAATCTCCCTCTTTTATATTTCTCATCTTGCTAAGTGTCTGAAACCTGTTAGAATGTTGAATAGAATTCTCGCCATCATTTTGTATCCAAGTATAGAGAGGTGTTCTAAATCACCAGGGGCTCAATGGAAGGTCTTGCTAAAGTTGTTAAGCCAATGTTCCCAATTTAAATGTTTTAAATCATTTTGTTTCACACTGTAGCAGACGTTCTGAAAAATGATGAAACATGAAATATGCATTAAGGCACTTGGATTTCATTAAAAAAAAAGATATTGTATGGTACTTATCAAATTTGTAAGGGTTTCATTCACTCATAAAAACGACAGCTCAACCATATAAGGACAGCAAAATTAAAAAGCTCTTTATTTTACAGATTACAAACAATTAAGAATTAATCAGGACTGCTAACAGTTGAAATCATTTTTTTTTATGTGAGAAAATATGTCTAATTACTGAATAATTAAGGCCCAACTAATAAATAATTTGCAGGTCTCCTTTGTGAAATGTGTAGTGCCAACCCAAACTGGCCACAAATAATTTGTGGAAATTACTCATAGCCGAAAAATGCAACTTACATCACCCTAATACAGCCTTAACAATGGTTTTCATCAGAAGCAAGCATGGGTAGAAAGAGGATGCAGCTTAAGTAGTTTATACACTTGTACTATAAATACATATGCGACACAGACAGCATAAGCACATGTTTAGCATGTGTTTAGAAATTTCAAGCACTGGTCATAGTTATGACATATATTTGTTAATTTGCAAGATAACACAGCAATGTAGATCAATGAGTTCCATGCTAAAGAAATATTATTGAAAATGAAGGACAATACTCAAGCCCTTTGCTCTGCATCATTAATAGCTTCTGAATTTTTATGACCAGTTTTATTTAGGAAATGCATCTATTTAATAAGATTATAATTAATAAGCCAAAACGATGCAATTACCCATACAGTTTTTTCAGACTAATACTCAGTATCAGGATGACTCACACTTCGCACACGGTAAACTGACTATTTCCATACCACTTCAATCCCAAAGGGAAAATGGATATGAAATATTTTCTAATATGAAGAGAAGCTTTCTCCTGTTTCAGTCATATTAATCCCTACATTTTATGCCTGTTTTTTTTCCCTCTCTGTGTGACTCTTAACATTCCTGCCGTGTCTCATTTCCAGCTATTGTTTCTCCATTCTCCCTCCTCCCAAGGCCACTGAGAGTTAAAAGTTGTGATTTTTGACACATTGCCACAAGTTGAAGGACTGGATGTGGTCAAAGCAAAGCAAGCGAATGTTACTTCTCAGATAAAAAAACAAAAGAAAGAACAGCCTGACAGCCACACCAGTCACTGAGTTTTTTTCTTTTTTGGACTAAAAATGGAGATCCAATTTAAATTCAAAACAGGATATTAAATTGTCAGATAATTGTGCAATGTAGAGGTGAATGAGTATCTGACTATATACTGTATATAGGTCTATATATATATATGACTATATGGAAGAAAAAGATTCAAACTAGATTGACCCTTGGTGTTTTATTCTGTTCCTTTTAAAATATAATAAATACTTGAAACTTTATAAAGCTATAGTTTCACATTAAAGAGGGTACCATAGCACCTAATACTGTAGTGCAGGGCCCATCTGAATGACATATAACATCCACTGTGTGCCAGGACCCCCAGTCCCCCCCTCCCCTCACTACACCGTAGATCAGGTAAAGAAGTGTGAAATTCCTTCACCAGATTAATTAAATTGGAACTTCGGGGAGGCCAGATTTCTGCAAGTGACATGTAGATAGGACACTGAGTTTAACATCCCTATAATTAAAATAGTGCCATGGGATACTTTGTAGCTAAGCATTTAGGACCTCAGTTTTAAACCTTATTCAACAGATTTTACTTCAAACAGTAAAGTACAATACAACACAATAAAGTGTCCACTGTTACTTCTGGGGCATGCATCAATAAAGGTCTATAAGGAAGAGTATCACCTACTGGTCGACCAATAATACTTGTGAATTATTGCACAATCCCATTTAAAGCATCCCATGATTGTACTGCCTCTGCTTAGCTTCAGCTACCAAGTTACCAACCTTGCTTAACTTCTACATTCTAATGAGATCAGGCTATGAGTTCGAATGGTGTATTACTGTGATGCTGTGAATTATTTAGCATATCCACTTTACACTGTAGTTAATACTGTTTCAAGCATCAAACTTTTCTTAATTAGTATATAAGCATTACATTTTTATAGTTACTCTCAAGTGTCTAGGATTAATTAGCATTCTTAAAGTTATGCACATTCTAACTTGTACTCGGACTATTATTTAAACAGCATGAGCCATATAACAAGTATTAACGGTTTCTACACCTGAAGAAGGCTTCACAGCCAAAACGTTGTGTTTTCTCTCTTCTCTTTTCAGCATGGAATAAACCTACTATTTGTTCCTTTCAAATAGTCATATAAGAGCCATATAAGCCCATCAAGTGGTTTTTGTTTCTAAATTAGGTTTTAGAGGGGATGACAGCATTAATGACAGTGCTGCTACCAGTAAAAATTGTGCTCTGACAATGCAACTGATTTGGATGATTATACATCTCAAAACTGATTTATGTGTTGCTATGCTAATCCTGGTATTATTTCCATTTTCACGTATACCATTATTACTTGCGTGTGGGTGGTCATGTGTTACTGATATCATTATGCTATTAAAAGTAATTTACCGGGTCTTGCATTGGGAAATCAGCAGGAAGATAAATTTGAAGAAGCGGTCTGCTGATTTTAGAAGGTGACTATTAAATGTTTGAGAGTCAGGTCTGAATGTCTTTCTAATTAACTGTAATGGAAAAGGAAATAAAACTCAGAATTTGATAACAGCTTAAAATATCTTTATCAGGCATTTGTTGGAATTTAAATGCGTATATATTTCTATGGTGCTTTTTCTGGGGGGAATACAAGCACACAATAGATTATTCATATATGGATAAAGCATCCTCATACCCTCACAAGAGCTATAGCTCCTCCTGCCTACGGCACTTCTGCATTTGATATACTGTACTTGTATTTATGATGCTGGACATTATTACCTTCATACAGCTGTGGATATTGTGGAAAGCCAGCAGCTCGCAGCCAGCTGCATGCTTCTTTAGCCTCAAGTTCTGAAAAAAAAAGAGAAAAAAAATAGAAACCAGTTGGGTTATGTTGCTTTCTATATTAATCTTGATCCAAACTGGTACAAGCACATACAGTACTGTTTAAGTTCTCCCCTTTATCAGTTAGTATAACTACAAAAGTCTAGATAAGTCTCATGTTTGGTACTATATAATACAAAGTGAATGTAATTTAAATTTTCAAAAGAAACAAAAAGAACATGTAGCTTCAAACCAGAAATCGACTATTGCAACTGAAAGATCAAGAGCAAAAAATGTGTTAGATTTATCTAGAATGACATCAGTTTCAAAATCCCACACATATATTTGCTTTTGCTTCCTTGGCAAAGGTAGCAACTACCAATCGGTTAAGCTATATTTAGTTTGTTAAATATATTAGCTGCAGGCAGTTTAAAGAGGTCTCTAGGAGCTGTAGTATCCTATGAGCCATATTAAAGTCATCCTTGTACAACATAATATCAGCACCATGAAGAATATATCTTACACTTTTAATCCCTTGATCACTTTTAAGTTCAAACAGATGACAGCATTTAAGATCATATTGGAGAAGTAACCAAAGCAAAAATAAAGCATGGTAATTGTCTCATAACTAAATTCTCAAAACAACTGTGAGGACGCATTTATTAATTTGACACAAGATAACTTAATTGTGAGCACTGTAAGAACAGCTGGCTGACAAACAGGATCTATGGTAGTACATCCAGTTTTATTGTGGATCACATCTGCCAGATGGCAAAGTACTGTACAACCCAAGTGGATGGGATGTAACTGTAAGTGACCCTCAGGCTTGAGTAGATTGTGTAAAATTTAAATCAGTCTGTTTCAAAGCCTTTTGGAAGAATGTTGTTTTTCGCAGACATGATGTTTTCCAGAGGCATTCACAAATTTGATATCAAGAAAAAAGGAAACCAACTCAAAAACAATACAGTATACAGTACAATGTGACATAATCACTTCAATCATGAGTATGTTTTACTATAAAATGTCGCTCATACTACTAAACATATTAAAATGAAGTATTTTAACATTTGGAAAAATGATTTTTTTTTTTAAAGGAGTTTTCAAAGTCAAGCACATACTGTAAAACTCTAGTAACTATTTTAATAAATGAACAATTACCATGCTACCTTATTTTAGTTTAGGTATGTTGTAAGTTTTTTACACTTGTCTCTTCAGTGTTACAAGCTTATCCCATCAACACATACAATACCATTGCTATTTTAAACCTAACATATTGTACGCACATAAAATTCCATGTTTTTCAAACACTTATCGTTTGTCCTATGCAGGGCATGTCAGCAATGTATCGAGACAGTAAAAGGTCAATATTCAATCAACAGAAAGCAAAGTAAGTAGAAGATAAAGTCATTTTTGTGTAAGAAACAACTGTACAAACATAATTCTTATCTCATGTTCACAACCCTGTTATGGCACATAATTGTTTTTATTCCCATGATTAGTTATGCTTTTTTATTTTCTTGAGACTCAGCATTTCACGCACATATCCACATTCCTAAATCCCCCAAGTCCCAGAGTACTAACAAGAGGCCAGAGTTCTCCTGGCATAAAGCCTGTGTTCCCAAGCTACTTTTTGGCCGTTTGCATTCTTGCTTTAGGGCCTCCCTGACGTAATCCAACAACAGAGCCTGGCAAAAAAAAAATCATTAAAGAAGAAGTGGGCAGCTAAGACAGAATGTGTGGTTTTACATCCATCTGAGCAAAACAATCAAATACAGTGAAGGAATACTAAGATGTTTCGGATGGCTTCATGTGAAAAATAGCATGTAGACCTATTTCAAAAGGTATCTAAAAGTTTGTGAGCTTCGTTATCACCAGAAAACTAGAATAAAAGCAGAGATGGTATCGCTGAAATCCTCTACTTGTGTTTAAAGGTGACTACAATACTGTATCATTTATGGCCTCACAGGGAGTTTCAGCCAATGAGCACCTGCAAAAATATGCACAAGATTTACAGAAAATGGTGCCCTTTTGCTCCCCTTCTTCACAAAATATTAAACGTTAAAAAAGCTTGAAAAATGGAGGTGTGTGATACATATTATGACAGAATAACTCATGCTTAAGCAAGATTAAAAAATAATCACCATACCTGTAGCACAAAGGGTGACCAACGAACCGACCACCAGCAGTAAAGTATACTGTATCTACCTTCTATTCCTGCCTAACTTAACAGCTTTAAGATCGAACATTCAATGTCATTTTCAAATTAACTATAGAATTAGCTTCTTATTTTAAATCCGCCAGGCTGCAGCTTGTTTTCAGCTTTTCAGAAGTTATCTGTGTACTCATGAGGACTGTCAGTCCTCTATTTTTGTCCTGTGTGCAAAACATATATTTAAAGCCAGTGACAAAATGAAAAATGATCTTTACAGAGGAAATGGTGCTTCCCTCACAGGCCATGTGGATTCTTGTGCCTTCCTGCTGTGGCTCCAAGGAGGAGTTATTTTACGTACAGTAGCTAAGATCCTCCACATGCCTAACAGACAGATTGACAAACCGTGTCACATGCATTGGGGGTGAAGATATAACAATCCTCTATTTCACACATAAATCATGTGTGCAATGCAAGAGTGGGATGAAACTTTTCAGATTCTCAAATTCATCTGAAATGAACTCATTCTATAATAATCCTTCCTATTTTTATTAATCACATTACATTTTAGACCATAATTCTGAAATGTGGAAAGTTAAAGCTAACACAACTAGATTTTAGATATTGGATAGTATGTAAACATATAAGTACATCAACAAATATATTGTATAATATCATTTCCATCATCTGAATTCTGATCTTGGTAGCTTTTAACCATACTGTACATAAATACATCATGCTTCTAAACAAACATATCACATGTAAATGCAACAAATTCACAAAGTTATCTGGAAAATGACAAGACTTTTAGCAGCAGTTGCACTGACATTTTATTGTGCATACATAGTCCAGGAAAATTCATTCTGCCTCTTAACATTTGCCATCAGCACGGGTGACCAACCAAGGAGGTTTACAGTCAAAATGACAAAATAGTAGCGTATAGCCACCACTGGATTCCTTGAAAGCTGGATATCTACAGTACGACACACGGTTTGTAGAAAGTCGCAGATGCTGTCTGTCTTGTGGAATTCTGTCTCCTTTCAAAGATATTATCCTTTCTGGATAATCATGTGCCTGTCCACTGATATCTGAACTCTGCTGTAGATGCTATGAATCATCGCAGTTAACCTGACGAACGGAGTTCGGATATGGGAAGCAGTGCATCCACAGTATAACTGTCACACTCTCATTGTGCAAGAAAGTTATGGTTACACAAGCAGCAAATTCACATGGATCGTCCTGCTGACTGGTGGAAGTGAAGCAAATGAGGTCACAGGACTTGATCAATGAAGCATAGTGCAGTCACGCTGCCACTATAAGTGGAGATCAGTAGTGATAATACACTGAAACAAAAACATGTAATAAATAAACAAAATCTGTATACTATTTATTTTTTTAGATAAATTCAAAAGAATCATAGGATGTTTTCAATTCCCAGTATACATTCAGTGCTTTCTTAAACCAGTATTTAATGAATCTTCTCAGTTTAATTCAATCTAGACGAACCCTAGGGTGAAGGACTACAAATTACATCCCACAAAATTCCACTTATGTAATATCATTACCATAATGGTCATTTTAGATCATGCACCTCCTTTTTGATAATCCATTAAAGAGCTCTGGCCAAAGCAGACATTCAACACCTGATTTACAACAAATCAAATAATGTTTCATTAATAACTAAATCAGGAACAATTTGCCAAATTAAATGTCTCCTGCTATTATCTGGCAGGCTGCCAAGGCAGCCATTCATAACTACTTAATGCCATATCCTTCACCCCTGGGAAAAATCCTACACAGGAAGGAGACAGAAGCCTAGGTTAGCCAACCAAATCCTGTGAAATGGGACTTTTAATCAGCTAAATCAGACTAAAATTAGTTTGGACTATAACAGGCTATATAAAAATATACATTTTATATAAATCTACATATACAAAATATATTTTTAAAACAACCTTTAAGTCATTAATTTAATAAAATTGCACATATTACTTTGAAAAATGTGCATGTTTAATGATTCCGTAGAAATGAAGACCTTATCTGAATTTTTTGTGGTTAGCTACACATAACAAATAAAGCCCAACTGCAGAGCACATTTATTTGTCACATCTCACTGCTTACTGCAGATTCTAAAATTAATGGGCTGGAGCATAGAAAAGTTTCTCCAGAAACATAATTGCACAGTTCTCATATTTAGGTTTATTGGGTAAATATGAGCCTCTGTCAATGGCTTGTGTAAACCGTATAATAATCATCTTATATGTAAACAGAAAGAATATGTAAAGTGGAAATAAACACATGTTTGCAGTTCTGAAAAAACTAATTTGGGTTCTAATGTAAAAAAAAATGATTAAATTAAAGTGCACTAGTACAGGGGTTAAAATATTCCCCCTTTTTTGATATCTTTGGTCATACATCCTCTGTTATAATTGGGTCATTTCCAAAAGTAATTGGGTGCAACACATGTTGAAAAAGTGCAGACTTTAAAAAGGCTTACATTTTAGTTCTTGTATTTGAACTTGACCTTCATCCGCTTTGCGTTGCACATAGTGCATTTTCTGGGGGTTTTGTGGTTGGCTTTGTCTGATGAAACTAAAGAGAATCTAAAATGTCTCTTTTCCCTGTTGACTAAACTCACTTCAAGAAAAGTGCATTAAGTTATATAAGTGACTGAGACAACCAGTTTAGCAGTTTTTAAAATAGGTGTAGGGAGAATATTCCTGGCTTACATCATTAAAGTCATTTTGACAGAGTGGCAGAGCATCAAACGGAGGGAAGAGTGGGTTCTTTTTATTAATAGTGGAAAATAAGTGACAAAATATCCTCTCAGCTTCTTCTGCAAAGTAATTCCAAACTGTATACAGGTATGTAAATGCAG